AGTAACCCGGAGGGGCTAACTGAGTGAGAGCCAAAGTCTCACCTTCTCTCACCCAGGTCTCGGTCACGCACGCCAGGTCCGCCAGATGTCCCGTCACATAATCCCTTAAGGTTGTGACTTTGTTGTTAATGGACCTGGCGTTGCACAACACCAATGACAGAGGGGGGTCAGTCCTGGCCCCACTGCCAGCCACCCTCGGGATGGGCCGTAGGCTGGAAGGACACCGAGCTCTCTTGTGTCTCAATGGCCTTCCATAACCACTCTGCCTAGGCCCACCGCTAAACTTTCCCCTCCCCAAGAGCACCGGAATCCGCTGATCAGACATGCTATTTATGGTATTCACTGGCCGTCACCAAGGGTTCAGTCACCAATGCACTACCCAGCAAGTCTGCAAATTGACAGCAGATACAACGTCACCAATCTTAACCGTATAGTTATGCATATATATATATACAATAATTACAATCACAAGTTCTAAGGCTGCACAATATAGCAATCATTAATATTAATATTGATGTCAGGTCAGCTGATTCTCACACACAATCACCTTTGTCAACAGAGAACCCATACTCACAGCCAACCAATAACCCACACTCACCAACAGCCAGACTAGTCACACTCCACTCACACTACAGCATTGGCAACTCTCTCACACCTCTCTCTTGTGATCCACCAGAGGGTTATACTGAACTCAATCCTCTGAATGCACTTCCCTCTGCTGTCCACTAGAGGGCCTCGTTGTTCCACGATCTTCCGGCCCTCTGCCACTCCCGATCTGTTGAAAAGAAACTTGCTGAGAAGGGCTTGCTGGAAAGAACTTGGGCTCCTTCGGGAATATATAGCTACCACCAGAAACAGCAGAAACAACACAAGGCGGCACCGGGTATCTCAGCATGGCCCTAAGAGGCCCGGCCTCGCAACTCGGCCCAGCGCTTGACTCCCGCTCCAGGCCCCCGCTTTCCAGAACGCCGCTGCTGCAACGGGCTCCACAACTAGCCCGTCAGTCCGACGACCACTCCAGCGCCGCCGGGGGCTCTCCGCGCCGCCTCGCAATGCCACCCGGACGCCTCGTTGACTCAGTCGATTCGGCAGCCCCGGCGTCCCAAGTGCGCGCTGGTCCCCCGGTTTGTACTGGTAAGCCTCGATATTTTGCATTCCAAAGTCCCGATTGCCCCTTGATGGCCTCGCCCGGTTAATAGCCTCCAACCAAAGAGCCCGGGCAGAGGGGGGGGGTCCCGGGGGGTCCCGGGCCAATTCAAAGGAGACCCAGCAGGGATACACAGAGGCACAGTGCAGGGCAACCCAAAGGGCTTCTCGAAAGGCTTCTCGAGTAGGAACAACGCGCCCGCCAAGGCTTCCGCGTCGTTTCGCACTTTCCTCCGCCCTGTCGGCCCTATCGGCCCTGCTCTGAGCCAGGGAACTTGCAGTCCAGGCCGCGGCTCCCGTACAGCCGTCGCTCTTGTTAGGCCGTGCCGATGGAAATTTACAAAAGTAGCAACTCACGACACACAAGTATCCCAGTCTTTTCCCGATGTCTGCTCAGCATAGTCCGGTGACAAGGAGGGGGGGGGTCATGGCCTTTAGACCCCACTCTGAACCAATATAACATTTAAAGCAGGTTAAAAAGTGGAGGAGCTTGAGCACCGAGCTCCTCTCGCCGCCGCCATCTTCTGCTCTGTTCTAATACTGTTATGTATTAGGGCTGGAATATTCCAGGACTGGGTACCAGACTGGCTGAGCTTAGAGCTCTAGAACAATAGCCCACCAGGACTCTGGGAGTGCCCAGTGAGTAACTTCTGTTATGTAAATAGGCTATCATTGGGAGTTGGGTGTGTTTGGGTGTGTTTTTTGCGTGCTATTTAAACAGGGCTATTGCCCTGAGGTTTCAGTCTTGTTCCTGAAATCACTTAATAAAGTAGAGCTGTTCACTGCAATGCATCTTGAACCCAGTATTTAATAGTTACTCTTCAATATTTCGGGCAAAAGCTCTGATTAACAGGATGTCTTTTAAAATGAACATATTACTGCAAAATAATTTCTTGCCAATTCACAGGTTGCCTTCAGTCAGACAGTGAAGATAGTTGGGTTCTGGTAGCTGCTGTTGAGGAAGCAGTTTTTAAAAATCTGAACAGCCAATCACAAGCCCTGATGGACGAAAGTCCTACTGACTCCATACACTGTATAATAATACTTGGCAGGCATCAAGAAATGTTGGGGACCCCTGATCTATCTACTGTGATCCCAAGATCTCTTGACTGGATTCACTTGCTTGATTGCAATGGTGTCTTCTTAGTTCTGCGCATAGTTTTTACATGTAGCTGAGAAAATAGGGGATGTGGAAATCTGTGCTCTTGTGATGTCATCCATATTGATGGTACTATTTCAATAATATGCAAGTCTATACATTTCCTTTCACTTAAATATGATAAGATTGTGGACTTTGGTTTATTTAATATTTCATTTATTTAGAAGTGTCAGCTTTTAATTTGGGGTATTTTTTTCCTGTTTGTTTTTCTACAGAAATGCAGCCCGGAAGGAAATGCTTCCTTCTTTAGCAAGATAACTTATTCCTGGTACAGCAGGTACGAAAGCTTACATATAATGTTTTTAAATCTACAACAGACATTAGCGAACCTGAAGCTGAGAAGACAAAGGAGTGCTTTAATCCTTGATTTATAATTTTTGTCTGTCAAAAAATGCTTCTACCATGTCTTAGGGCTGGAATTTTGGGTAAATAACCAGCAGGAGAAACAAGCTGCTCAGTAACCATTGACACCACTTCCTTCCCTGCTTATCCAAATGGTGACTGATCAGCCTGCAGAAGAAGAGAAAATAAAGATATGTCTCAGAGAAGCTTTAAATGCAGTGCCTTCTATATGAAATGTGTCCTAGGCAAGTAGATGTCTGATGAACATCTGGTTTTCTGTGGAAGACCAGAAGCAGCAAATACAGCTCCCTCTCCATTCATATTTAATATTGCTAGACTTAACATATAAAGGAAAAATAGTTGCCATAATCCATACCCTTTGTTTGTTAAAATGTTAGATTGTATAGCTAAAATGTCTGAGCAGTGTTGAATCTCAGATTAGATTGCGGGTAGGTATTTGCACTAGGGAACTGGACCATATTTAAATAAGTGAATCATACCCACCTGTTTTTATTTGCTCTTGGGCTCCGAGAAGAGCAAAAGAGACTCCATAAAAGTCTTTCTGAGATTAATGTCTTTAAAAATGTTCTCTCTGGGAAAAGTCCTCCCTTGTGAATTGAAAGTTTAATCTTGTTAGATGAGTTAGTCATCTCTAAGTACATGTTAGACACTCATGACCATTACTCACTGTTGTATAGTAAAGTCACATGATTATTAGAGATTATAGAAAAGGAGAGCTGTTGTGCCTATAAACTTTATTGTTAGTCTGAGAGTGAGATACATCTCTGAAGCAAAGGGTTGCACAAGCACCCTGTCTTGCAAGCTCTGAAAGCTATAATATTAGTCTTTCGATTGTCAACATATTCCTTTGATAATCAGCAGTCTAGCAAGATGTGCTGGGTCTGACCAGAGACTCTTCTTAAGGGATTGGTGCTCTCTGACTGTCTGCTTTGCTTGCTTTTTCTTCTGTCTTCTGTGAGGCTTGTGTTCTGCCTTTCCTCCTTTCTTGTTCAGGCAATGGCCTCTCTTGTGGAGCTGGGCGCATATGCCATGTTGACTGTTGTATTCTCTGATAGTCTGCAAATGGAACAAAATGGAGTTTGTGTAAGTCATGTCAGCAATGTCACCATCTTCCCCAGCCACTCACTGTAAACTGCCACAAAAGCTGGGATCAAGGGACCTTCTGAAACAACATGATATGGGTGGAGGTGGGTTTCAGTAAGAAGAAAGAATCTGTAAAAGTCCCTCTCATTGTTGTGCAGGTAGATCAAGCAATGTCAGTGGAGGAAAGGCTTGCATAAATGTATTGAAGGAGGGAGGCTTTCTTGCTGCAACCCTCCCATACCACATGGCGTATTGTTCTTGAGGATCACTCATCAGTGCTATTCTAAGAGGTGCTGCCCATTGCTGGACAAAAGAAAGTCAAAATTGCTTTTTCGTTCATGAAAGTGGCAGATCCAACTTCATTACTTTTAGAGTTTTCCCACCTCAGGATGCTCCCTCAGGCTGTTTTTCTCATTGGATGCTGGCTGGGAACCATCTCTGTACTTCTTTTTTAACTGTCTTATATTGTGTTCCATCCTGCCCTTTTGAACAGTCAATGTTTGTTTCATATTAGTATTCTGAAAAGGTGCATACAATCAATTTTTAAGGTGAAACTAAAGATATAGCTGTTGTAGAAATGGGCAAGTGAACAAGGTTGCTTCAGTTCTTATTTTCATACACATTTATACATTTTATTTATACCCAGATAATATTCTCCCATTCTCTAAGGCCCAAACTAGATGTTACAATAACATGTGATCGCCACGGGGACTTGGAATCAGATAACTACTGTGAGTTCCCTGTGGGAACTCATTCTCAAATGTTTCCTCCTCACATTCCATTTTCCTGGAGTAAACCAGCCTTGGAGGTGTTATTTGTCCCGGTGGGCGGGGGAGGCAGCACATGCAAGTATGTTGAGTATTTGTGGCTTTGTATTATTTTGTAATTTATTTTTTCTTTAATAGAGTTATAACTTTAGGCTACAAGAAACCATTGGAAAGAGATGATCTGTTCGAACTAAATGAAAATGATTCGTCCTACATTGTATGTCCAGATTTTGAAAAACAGTGGAGAAGGGAAATTTTAAAGTCATCCAAGGACATAAAGGTGATTCAGAATGATATCAATTACAGGGTTTTTTTTCTGTACAGAGCCATGTGAATGTTTAGTTAGATTTTTGGATAGGCTTTTGGAAAATGTGTTCTTCCCGCTCCCCAAATCTCTTAAAGAGTGTGACTGTGCATAAACCATATTTAGCTCTGCGTTTCTGTTTTCCCTTCCCAGTTTTTATGTTGCAATATTTGGGTGATGCTTCACCAAGATTTTATTATCTAAAAACCTTTTCTTCTTACTTGGTAGTGGTTCTACAAAGGTCCAGGGGAGCCAGGTACTTTATTTCTCTCCTCAGTTGGCTCGAAGGGTTGGAATGCCTACTAATTTAAGACAGCTTTTGTAGCACATATCCACTGTATTATATCCCTCATCCAGTCCTCCCCCATGCCTTCCCCCAAAGCCTAATTGTTTGATGCTTAGTATAAATCAGCTAACCAGGGCACATGACATTCTAGTAGGTTATCAGTATGCACCATTACTTACCATCACTTGTATGAAATGGAACATGGACTTCAGTTTAAATGTAGAGAATCCCACATTGGTGTATGTGAGAGTGTGGTGGGGATGCATGTAAATTGTGCAAGTGTGAATAGAGTTCATCACGTTGAACTTTCCTACTCAACAGAGGGGCATTTGGAGGGGTTTTTTTTTAATCACAATGCATTTTGGGAGAACAGAAAAGTGATTTATGAAATTTAGAGAGGTTGTTGGAAAGAATATAATTTACAATATACTCTTATGTGGAATTCCTCCAATGATTTCTAGAGACTTAGTGTTGAGGAAATGAGGGGTGCAGGGATCTTTTTGTGCACTCTCATTCCCACTGTGTTCATTTTGGGGAGGGAGAGAAGCTGGCTTCCCAATTTCATCAAAAGAGAGAGAGAGTAGTTCTAAACCAAAACTTAGTTTATTCCATTACACATTCTTAAGTGAGAAAACATTTTTGTAGCATTTCAATATTCAACAGATTTCCATTTCATTTATTAGCTTCATTGACCCGAGGTTTTAAGCCAAACATACAAACAGCAACTATAAAATGCATTACATATAATTACAAGATAATTTAGACCAAACGTCTTTACAATAAAAGCTAGTAAACATACTCTCGAACAGTATTATCAGACCACATTTTATAAACTTCAGTGAATTCTATAAAATCCCATGATATTATGGAAATTAGTTTTAAAATTTTAAAATTATATACATAAAACTACTTATAAGATTTCAAAGCCGCTTTAAAAATAACACTATCGAAAGATATTTTGCCAGCAAGTGAGTCGTTTCAGGGTCCTCATCTGCTAGCAGGGTTCCATAGGGAGGTGATGTCTTTGTAAAATAGGAGTGATCCAACAGGATCTGGGGTCAATCCACTGGTGGCAAAATAACATAAGATGATGTAAGGTCTCTATTGCACCTGATCCACAATCGAACAATCTATTTGAGTATGGTATTTTAGCAAAATGGCCACTTAGCTCACCAGTTGGAAAAACATTCAATCTAGCAAGCGTGAAGACATATCTAGATCTAGCAATATTCAACAGAGAATATGTCAACACAACCCCAATATATAAACAGTGCACTTATAATTCTATAAAGGATACCCTTGGTTGTTCTGCCAAGACCCATAACGACAGGATAGTTGATCAGAACAACCCCGAACCAAACTAATTCAGACATTAAGTACTCTCTTTCACCCGTTGAATGTAACTGTCAATCAAGTCTGTGACGAGCATTTGACATACATCTGACATATATGATAAAGTCAGCCCTTTCTTTCTATCTCTGGGGTCAGGAAAGTCAAGGAAAGCTGAGATAAGCTAGGGTGACTCACAAGGAAGCTAGCTTCTGATTTGGTAACAGACATGCAGTACAATCTTATGAAGAATTATTTCAGTCTTGGCCCAATGGCTTCTCCATGTAGTAAACAAACTGGAGTAACTCTGCATAGGTTTATACTTGTTGAGTTCCCTTTAGTACATTTTTATCTAGACATGTTCTAGAAGTCAGTGGAACTGTGCGTTTTGGTGCTGTGCAAAGAAAACAGCATGCAGAGTCATCTTAAGATGCCCCAGTATGTCTTACTGTACCATATCTGTGAATTTTCTGGGCTGACTCTTTTGTAATTGTGGGTTCATGAAAAGCTTTCTATATTTTCAAAATTCCTCCTATCCGATCTGCAGGTGACTGTATGTAAAGATGTAACAAGGAAAGGAGTTTTTCAGAAAGCATCTCTACTGTCACCACTGTGGCAAACATTTAAAGTTGCATTGATCAAGGTTACTATTCTGAAAGTTGCGGCTGATTTTTTCTCTTTTTTGAGTCCACAGATTATGAAGTAAGTTTATAAACATGCTTTATTCGGCCTGACAGTAGTCTTGAAGATAGATATTCCAATACTTTAGAGTTTTAACATAGTTTGTCTGTTGCATGGTTGTAATTGTACTTCATTTCACAAATGTTTTTACATGCTGAAGACGTAACAGGTTCTTAGTTTGTAAGAGCTGTATGCAGTATTAGTCACTTTGCAACCAGGCAGTGGATTACAGAAATGGAAACAGCTGCTAGCTGCTGTCCAAAATAATTTATTCAAAAGGGTCCTCAGTAGCACACATTTATGATAAAAACTGGAAATCTGTGCTAGATTTAATGTCATTAGCATCTGCTCCCTTTATGCAAGTAACCTGAAGGTAAGATGATCCCACTTGTTTGCAGATGGTTTGCATAAAGGATGAGCATTCATTCAGCAAACTTTAGTATGGGCTTTTAAAAATGTTCTTCTTAATTTGCAGAGAAATGATTGATCTCTCTGAGCATCATTCGGGCTCCTATTGGAATGGTTATGGGTATGCAGTCGCTCTCCTTATTGTGGTTGTTCTGCAGACACTTATCCATCAGGCTTTCCAACGACTTAACTTGCTTACCGCAGTAAAAATTAAGACTGCTTTGGTTGGCCTCTTATATAAGAAGGTAATTGCTGCTCTCTGTTCACGCTATATGCTCTTTTCCAGCAGTACTATGGAGCTCTTTTATAGATCAGTTGTTAGATTCAGGTGGGTGTGAACTTTTTGGTTCTAATTGTTTTTTCAGTTTTTTCAATTTTATGACTGAACTGTCTTGTAGGTTTATATTTTAAACCTTTATACAGTTTATATTTTAATTGGATTTGAAATGTTAACAGCTTTAAACTCTTATATTGATATTTTACACGTTTGTTGTATTCTGTGCTTGAGACCATTGGTCATGTGAGCTAAATAAAGTGATTGAGATTCAGGTGGGTAGCTGTGTTGGTCTGAAACAACAGAACAAAATTCAAGTCCAGTGGCGCCTTTAAGACCAGCAAAGTTTCAAGGTGTTGAGGAAAAAATTAATCCCAGGTCCCTGGGCTGGATGTGGACTGACAAGAGACCAGCCCAAGGGGTAAAAAGACAAAGACAAAAGCTTGCACTTTGTTCTGATTTGCTAGCTGAAAATGAGATAATAGAACTGCTCGAGACAAAACACTTTACAACATTTCAATATTTGGCATAGAATATTTCAACAAAAACCCAATACTAAAAATAGTGCACTTATATGAAACTCAGAGTGCTCTAGACTGGTCACCAAGACATCACAAGGAGCTATTGATGGCCTGCCTAGAGGAGACAAATCATTAATGATTTTTATCCTCTGGACCCATAGGTTCAATCAAAATGACTGACGTAAGGCTAACACATTTTAACAGAAGAATATATCTTAATGATTTTACTCTGAACTCATACCGTAGATAAGAGAGGATGTTATGTGTAAGCTAAAGAGTCATATATATCATGTCAGGGCTCATTCTGAGAATCTAGGAGCCTTCAGCAGATTGTTTTGACTTTATGTTGACTGCATGGGAGCACAGCATATACCTGTAACCCCTGAGTCAGCAAGCATTATCATATACTAAAGACCTTCACCCATCAAGAACACATTGTGGAAACCCATGAGTGCCGGAGAAAGAAATGACAACCATAGAACAATGTAAACTAATCTTTTTATACAAAGGAAGGCCAAGGGCACTAGGGAACAGGTCAACCCTGGCTTACAAGACTACAAGAAGCTATACTGCAAAGTTCTGTGGGAAAAGAGAACCAAAGAGGCATAATTCAGACTGCCTTACAAAAATGCCCCCAGGCTCATTTATATTTCTGCCACATAAGGTATTTTATTTTTAAAAATATAATTAATTTTTATGATTGATTTATTCAAGACATGTACACGAATAAAACTTTGTTGGTCTTAAAAGGTGCCACTGTGTCTGCCACAAACCTCAATCTTTAACTTGATGGGAGATCCTTCACAGCTGGTGGTTCTAATATTCAGGTTCTGTTATTGGCTAGTATGGATGCATACCTGTACATCTATTGATCCTGGTTAGGGGCTGGATCCAGACTCAGTTGGTCATTAACACTGACACCCCGCACCTTGTGCTGCAGTCCCTGTTCAAGTTATTCCTCAGGGTCACCTCGAGATCAGTGGGCTGCAGTGGGAATGGAAGGCAGGAAAGTTCTGGATCTCTTCTGAAGACTCCAATTTAAAGCACCACTTACTTGTATGTTCTATTAAAATCAGTAGCACTAACTTTCTAGTAAATTGATTGAAATACATATGTCACCCAAATCTTGATGCAGACAGAAGTTTATTTATGGAGTTCAGTTACAGGACTTGAGCTACATTAAGTTTTGTGTTGTAAAACAAAACTCTTCACAGTATAACTACACTAATTTCAGATTAACTCTGAGAAAGGAGAAAAGTAGAAAGACTATAACTTAATTCAGAGCCAAGATACAGAAGCTTACCATATTTTCCTGCGTATAAGACTACTTTTTAACCCAGGGAAATCTTCTCAGAAGTGGGGGGTCGTCTTATACGCCGGTACGCCAGAAGCATCAGCACAGCTCTATATTTTAACGGGAAAACTCTATATTTTAACTGGAAAAGTTGGGGGTCGTCTTATATGCCCAGTCGTCTTATACGCCGGAAAATACGGTATATTAAACACCAAAGCACCTATCCTTATAGGATTGCCAACAGGCCTGGAGAAAAAAATGTGTTGTCTCTTTAATAGAAGCTTCATGTGTGGAAAATGGGCAGTTGAAGCTTTTCATGGCATGCAAGTAAATAACATCACCTAGAAAATAATGTTCCATTAAGCCTGTATTAAAAGGACAGGACATTTTTCTCCAGGCTACTTTGCAACCTTACTACTTCTAAAATATATTTGATTTGACATTCTCCCCTTTTTGGTTGAGGTCATACTAGATTAGAAAGTAGTTTTCTTTTAAAGGGTTAGTTTCCCCATGAGATACTAAATTTAAGCAAGTTTTTTGAGATGGTTTCAGTGCTAAATAGAGAGATAAAACCTGATTTCTCCTATTATGGACAACATAAAAATTAAAAAAAAAACAGAAAATAGTAAGATGAAGATCTGGTGGGGTTTCTAGGTGTACACAGGCTTTCTCTTAATTCAACGATGAAGTTCTACACCTGAAAAGAACACCTTTGTTGGATTGTCTATGGCGTACTTATTTTTTCAGAATTTCCCATTAATCCTTCCTAACAGTTTGTAAGTCCACCCAGTCTTACGTTAAAGACTAACACAATCTATTTCACTGCAAGCTTTCATTTGTCAGACTTCACATTCTCAGATGCATGTCTAACTCTTGAAAATTGATGCAGGATTAAATTGTGTTAGTCTTCCAGGTGCCACTTGAATGATGTTTTATGTTTCCGCAGCAGAGTAATGTAATTCCTACAGTTACACATCAAAACCACTAGGATGTTGTAGAATATGCTTCAAAACTGTTCACTTTATCTGCTCTCTTCCTTGGGTGCAGGCCTTGAATTTGTCTAGTTCTTCACGGCAAAAATACACAACGGGTGAAATAGTTAACCTGATGTCAACGGATGTCCAGCAGCTCATGGAGCTGACCATCAATCTCAACCTCTTGTGGTCAGCACCTTTTCAGATTCTGCTGGCCATCATCTTCCTTTGGCAGGAACTGGGCCCCTCTGTGCTAGCGGGTGTTGGAATGCTGCTTTTGGTTGTACCTATAAATGTTTATGTAGCTGCCAAAGTGAAGCAACTCAAGGTAAGGAATTTCAGTAACAAGTTGCTACATTACATGAAGGAATTCGTTTTAATTAAAAGATAATTGCTAAACTCTGCCTCCATTTATAATGGCTGTAGAAGTATTTTTTTTTAAATCTGTAGTCATGTAATGGGAGGTACTACAGTTATACTTCTTAAAACATTGGTTCCAGAGAACTATGAGCAAAGTTCCACTTGCAGAACAGATCTTTGCCACTTCCCTGCTCTTCTGTAGACCCCTGTGCCCAGAAATGCTGGTTGGCATTCCTTGGAAGTGCCATGGGTAGGATGCAAGAAAGAGTCAGTGGACTTTGCTTGAACAAGTTGGGTGGGAGATCCATCCCTTTATTAATAGCATAATTATATTTATCAGTGGTAGAAAATTTTGATTCCTTGATTTAAAAATGCAACCACTTTTTTTCACCAGAAAATTCAATCGAAGAACACTGATCAACGAGTTAAACTCTTAAATGAAATCTTGCATGGCATAAAGGTAAGATGAATGTCATGAATGTCTCTGGTTGTTCAAGGAGATGTTTAGGGACAGAATATGCATAATTCAAAAATCATACTGCTGAATATTTTTTGTATAAGGGACCTGTTCTGATTTTATGCTATTATGTGACTTATCTTCCACTGAAGGCTTCTACAACTTTTACATTTCTCATAATGTGACTAAACTCTATTCACACTGTTGCTTTCTTCTCTTTTTTAGAAATACCACAGTTGGTTGGATCCAGCCAACTTTTTCAGTCAGCCTCTCCCAATTCTGCTTTCTGCAGCCTCTGTCCCACATGGCTTTTGTATGTGAAGGTCCCATGATCCCCAGCATAGCCTTTTTTACTGCTCAAAAGCTACTTGGATCCAACCCAGTGTTTTTACATTAAATATATTCAACCCCCCCCCCCATGGAATGGTCACATCCTATTTTAAAATGTTGGTTAATATGTTAATATATTTCCAGCATCAGTTATGATGCATCATAGTACCTACTTTGATACTACTTGCATATAATCAGACAAGCAATAAGCCTCATGCAAGTCTGAAGTACACTGATTCTTGTAAAAGAGAATAAACACATGAAGCTATCTTATACCTAATCAGACTGTTGATGCATGAAGGTCAGTACTGGTGGCGGTCACACGTGTGAGAACACCGGGGGGGGGGGAAGCGAGGCTATTTCCAGGGGCACAAGATGAGATCTTTCATGTCACTTATAACCTGATTCTGTTAATTGGAGATGTCAGAGATTGAACCAGTAAAACCGATTCTCTACCATTGAACATCAGGCCTTCCCCAACCTTGGGAAACTCGATAAGTTTCAATAAAGTCATTGTTGCATGGGTGGGTGGGGATGGATTTAAAAAACAAACAGGTTTTGAAATTATCATTAGACCTCTCATGGTATTTGTTATTGTTCCTTTCTGGGTAGCCTCTTAAACTTTTTCTAGAAGGATTTAGGACGGACACCTGGAAACAGGTTCAGATACCCACAGAGTGTTGGTTCAGATGTAAATGAGCTTTATCCTGTGTGCCTCTGTTTCCATCATGTGCCCTGGTTCAGTAAGTTATTTCCACTTTAGTGGGAATTATAGTATGTCCTTAAATCCTATTCAATTCTGAGCAGTGGGGAAAACAGAAATCATATTTTCCTGGTTTGGACACAACAGCAACTATGGTTTGCACTGAAGTGGAAGTAAATAATCAGATCTGAGTATGCAAGCTGAAGGAATGCACACGCATTGTTCACATGGTGCCGAAACATGGTTTGGCATTACATCTGAGCCAGACCAGTGATATAAGCATAATACTGTTTAATATGTATTCACAGAAGGCCAGATACTCCCATGTAGTTAGAGAGATTGGCTGTGATTCAGTGATGCCCAGGATCAAAAGAAACCACGCAACTTGTTCTGTGCTCCCAAGGCTTATGTTTCTTAAGCAGCGATTCCCCCATGCCAAATGAGATGGCTTTTGCAACCAAGGAGTCTTTAAGAGTAGTTTGTTGCATGTTATGAGACTCTGCTGGTTTTTTTGTGTTTTAATTTAGTTTTTTAAACACAAAACTCATTAATTACAGCCAAGTGCTTAGGGGCACCTTAAGGAGCTCTTTGGGTTGTGGCCAGAGTATGTAATCTGTTCCCTGTTCCCAGCCAGCATGAAAATTCATGTACTTAAATGGCCACTCAGATTATAGCAATGGTCGAACTGGCTGGTTGCAAATGTGAGTTTTGTGAAATCTTGGGACTCGCTAGGGGATGGAGAGCTGTTGGATCGTTCTATGTGAGACTAGAAGGTCCAAGTACCTAGCCATGATGAAGCACGGGGAAATGGCAGGGGCCACATAGAGAGGAAGAAAAAAGTTCTTCTGGTTCTTGAGAGGAGCTGCTAAACAATTTCTCACCATGAACATAAGAACATAAGAGACGCCAATGTTGGATCAGGCCAAAAGCCCATCCAGTCCAACACTCTGTGTCACACAGTGGCCAGAAATACCAGTGCCATCAGGAGGTCCACCAGTGGGGCCAGGACATTAGAAGCCCTCCCACTGTTGACCCCCCCCCAAGCACCAAGAAGACAGAGCATCACTTGCCCCAGAGCCCCTATATAAACCTTGTGGCTAATAGCCACTGATGGACCTCTGCTCCATATGCTTATCTAATTCCCTTTTGAAGCCGTCCATGCTTGTAGCCGCCACCACTTCCTGTGGCAGTGAATTCCATGTGTTAATCACTCTTTGGGTGAAGAAGTCCTTCCTTTTATCCGTTCTAACCCGACCGCTCAGCAGTTTCATGGAGTGCCCACAAGTTCTTGTATTGTGATCAGCAGTTTCATGGAGTGCCCACGAGTTCTTGTATTGTGTATCACCATGGACAGGCATTGGGATATGTTTATGTGGAGAAATAGTATAGAAGCCCAATAATTATTCGTTCAGACACTTAAAACTAGCATCTTGATGTGTTGTACAAAAGGTTTCATTTTACACTCTTGCTAACTTCCTATTTAGATTCTAAAGCTATATGCATGGGAACCTTCATATCAGAAAAAAATCATGAACATTCGGGAAAGTGAAATAGCTGTTTTGAGATCATCTGGATACCTGACAGCGTTTTCTATGCTGACACTGACGTGTATTCCATTCCTGGTGCGTGTGTGAGCAAGATAATATTCTTTAGTACAGTGGGTAATTATATATCCTACCTTGCATTGGATAAAGGAGAACCCAAATTACACAGGATAACTTTGCCAGTGTAAGGAACTGACTGTACCTATCTTGGCTTTAGTTTTCTAACCTGATCACATATCACATTATCAACTAAATTGTAAAATTACTATAGATATCAAATATTTATTTAGTTATAGCCTGCTTCGTCACTGAGTGTCAAGGTGGATTAGACAGTGTGAGTCAATACAATCAACAGGATGGGACATCTAATAAGCATTGAAATAGGATTTGGATTGCAGAAATCTGAAACGGAGCTGAAAGAAAGCATAAGTATTAAAATGACACATTACATTATGCATAGTAGGATCACACTTACAGCACCAGACTGTACCCGTTAGTATAGTCTATAGTCCCTATCCCTTTACTGGAGACGTTTTCTGAACCATTCTGATACAGCACAGCCCTATTGCCTTTGTGTAAAAAAAAAAAGCCTCCTCAATAATTCAGTTTTGCATAGTTTGCAGAGAATTAGGAGACTGGGAGCTTTCCTGACCCCATCAGGCAGGCCATTCAATAAGATTAGGCCACAGCAGAGAATGCACAGGCTTACTATAATGCATTTGTTGATTTTGCCCATTATGAGGATGACCCCTGCAGAAGGTGATTGAAAGCTATAACGGTGGAGCATAGGGGGAGAGGCAGTCCTGCAGCTATGAGGGACCCAGGCCATGAAAGGCTTCAGATCAAGATGGGTAGCCCTGTTAGTCTGTCTGTCTGTAGCTGTAGAAAAGAGTGAGAGTCCAGTAACACCTTGAAGACTAACAAAATTTGTGGCAGGGGATGAGCTTTCATGAGTCACTGCTCACTTCTCCAGCTGCAGATCAAGCAGAATCCTCTGCTTTATAATTGCAAATGGAGCGGAAGAACTATGTATCACATAAACTAGCATGTTCTTCTAACTTAATTAAATTTAAATCAAAGGTCACTCTACTTCATTCAGGAGCAGATCAAGAAAGGGTGCAGCCTGAGGATATCCTGGGATGGAAACCTCTTCCCCCTCCACTGCTCCCCCCACCACCACCACTCAGAAGTTGTTGCAAATCATTCACTTTCCACCTCCCCCCCCCTCCCCAGTCACCTTTAAACACGGCACAATAAGCCGTGCATGCCCAATGGGGCCTCTTTTTTCTTTTGAGAGTCCAGAAAGCCTTTTTGGAGATGAACCAGTTACAGCACTGTGTTAAAGACACATGGGAACATGGGAAAGAGCATGAGATGATCTGAGTGGCAGAGAGGGCAAGGTGGCAGAGAGGGCAAGCTGCTTCCCACACCTCCAAAAGAATGTGCTGCCTAATGCCACTGCCTCACTCAATTGCCGAGCCAGCCATGAAGTAATTCTACCACGAAGCCATGTTTTGAACTGCTATGCTGTTTTAATGTCAGTAATGAGGTTGTTAGGAGTATATATAATAACATTGCAGGTTAGTACTACTAAAAATCCGTGAGATGAGGGGAAAACAAACCTAGTCCTTTGCTTCTTTTTCCCTCTAGGTCTCTCTGGCTACCTTTGGAGTCTATTTTCTGTCGGATGAAAAAAATGTTTTAACTGCTGCCAAAGTTTTTACCTCTATTTCATTGTTTAATATTTTACGACTTCCATTGTTTGATTTGCCTACGGTGATTTCTGCCATAGCTCAGGTAACTATAAATCAGGCTGAGAAAAGCGAAGGTTTGGCAATCTTGAATATTGTGCAAGTTTTCATCTCTTACCTAGTTTTTAAAGTATATTGGGCAAAATTAGGCATTTGAATTTATTTGAGGATCATTTGGCTTGAGGATAAAATGGAGGAGGAGATAACCATGGCAGAAGCTGCTACTTTGGGTCCTAACTGTGGAGAAAACCAGAAGACAGGCTCCCAGTCGTAGGCTGGAGGGCCATTTGTACTTCGGAGGAAGGCGGGGGGGGGGGGAGGGATGATTTGGGGCAATTGGGCTGAGCACTGGCTGTTAGCCAGTCAGCTCTCAAGCAGCTTCCTGCAGCCCACCCCAGAGGTCAGCCCATTATAGAATGGATGGGGCACATAGACCTGTAGACTGCAGGTTTATGCTGGCACACAGCTCAGTTTGAAAGGAGCAGGTTGAAGAGGTGCTTAGCATTCAGCAACTCACTCTTGGCAAAAACCCACCCTCCCACCCCATGTTCTCAGGGTTTATTTTCAGTGTGGCTAGTCATCAGGGCTGGTAGCAATTTTACCCAGAGCTGATTGGCTGATGGGCACTGGAGTTTTTGCCTTCCCTATAGAAAGAATATATTTACTGTGTATGCTAATTTGCACTGTTGAGCATAACCATCACAACTGGCTGCTGGCATTTAGGCATTGGCTGGGGAACTTAATGCAGGTTGTGCAGGCCGGGGTTCCTGCATGACCAAATAGGAGTCCCTTTAAGGGGCTCTGGGGAGTGGGGCACAGGACAGCCAACCTCAGGGCTGGCAGTACCTCCAGGAGGATGGTGATGGCTAGGAATAGTAGTTTTCACCACTTCCAGCCCTAACCTTCCGCCCTTGGTTACCCCAACAAGTGGGTTGGGGAAGGTTGGGCTTTCAACTGCACCCATTGTCCCCAGCCTATGCTGCTCCTAAGGAACCTGTAATCAATAAAGTTGTGGCCCCAGCACAGTTTGTCTCCGTTATCCCCTCCCCCATGGGCTGGTCCCCACTCCAGGCACAACATAAATATTGAACTAAATAAATTTGGGATCGCTAAAGTGATTGGGCATGTACACTTTTTTACTGTTTCAAAATCATTTTAAAATGCAATCAAAACTGTACTATGTGGCATTCATAAGGAATTGGTGCTGCTGGTTGATCAAATGTGTTTTTACTATATATGCTAATGAAAGCATTTCCTATGCATTGCTGATTGTTTATGTGATAAGCTTTGTGGCTGATCTTGAATAGGTCAAACTAAAAGTCACAAAGGCAGACTGTTTCCTTAAAAGTAGTTCTTCCTCAATCAACTATAGAAGAAGAAATTGGATTTATACCCCACCTTTCACTACCCAAGGGAGAGCAGTTTACAAACTCCTTTCCCTTCCCCTCCCCACAACAGACTCTCTGTGAGGTAGGTGGGGCTGAGAGAGCTCTGACAGAAACTGCTCTTTTTCAAGAACAGCTGTGTCAGAACTATGGCTTGCCCAAGGTCATCCAGCAGGTGCAAGTGGAGGAGTGGGGACTCAAACCCGGTTCTCCCAGTTTAGAGTCCGCGCACTTAACCACTACACCAAACTGTCTCTCAAAGTGGGGGTGGGGTGGGGTAAATAAAGATTTAAGGTAAAACAAGCATATGTGGGTGAAGGGAGCAAAACTCTTTAATTTGTGAACATGTAGTAGGTTTCAACCTCAAGACTCTTCACTATATAATGCACTTTGCCTTGAGGAAATGGAAAGAGTAAATATGTGCAGGCAATAGGCAGGCATTAGAGAGGACCACTGTAAAATATTTTTTAAAATACAAAGGTATCCTTTTTTTTACAGTCTAAGGTTTCTCTGGGTCGTTTAGAGAATTTTCTGTCTTCTGAAGACCTGGATCCCCAAAACATCAACACAGACTATAGTGGAAGTAAGCTTTTAAAATAGTTAATATTTTCAGTTTTATGAATGACTATTGGGAACTGGGCTGAAGAGACTGCTTCTGTTAACTTCCTTTGTTTTGTTTCTGGACTTGAAGAGCATGCAGTAAGATTTGTTAATGCCTCTTTCCGCTGGACGAAGATTGGAACCCCATCCTTACATAAGTAAGAAACAAAGTATATTTATAATATAACGTGAGATATAATTTTGGAGCACTTAAGCAATATCTTGAGCTGAGTGCTTAGAGGAGAGGCTGGAGTTCATGCATTTGATGAGTCCTGAGTGAAAAGAGAAGGAGTTCTGTAAAAGGTAAATCATTTGAGGCTCACAAGAAGGCAAATTCCCAAGTGGTGACTGTTGGTGACATCACCATTGGGAACTCTGCTTTCCTTCTGATTATTGCAGCACATATCATCTGTGAATTGACAGGGTGTGGTTTGGGCCATACAACTCTGCCAGCACATCTACAGCTTATGTGACGAAAGAAAAAGAGTCCCTCAATGACTCTTGTCTAAATCATGCTTCTTATAACCTTTCTAAAACATTAATTAAGAGGACTTTTGTAATTTCAGCCCTTAGTTTAGCTCTAAACCTGGCATATATCAGCAAGGGGGAAATAAGCTGTTGCTTACAATACGGACAGACAGGGATTTTTTTGGAGAAAAAAAGCCCAGCAGGAACTCATTATCATAATAGGCCACACCCAACAGCAGAAACTCATTAGCATATTAGGCTACACCCCATGCCTTCCCTTGGCTTGGCCGGGGAAGGCACGGGGAGGCATTTAAATGCCTCTCTGATCCTTCCAGGGGGCCCCTGGCCCGCCCGCCGTGGAGTCGCTGGGGGGGGTCGCTCTCCAGGCCTTCCCTCTGTAGCCACGCACCCAGAATTTTGGCTGTAATGGGCGTGACCACCCACGTGAGGCCAGCCGGAACTCCGTTCCTGTGCGTTCCTGCCCAAAAATAGCCCTGGGGACAGAAGAAGGAAAACTGAAGGTGTTTTGCACCCATACTACTGGAGGACTAACAGGCTCTGGTTTTTCATTTCCACTGTGTGTGTGTTTATGTGTAACAATACTATTGTTATACTTTTATTCTATTTTTCTCCAAAGAGCTCATGGAAACCCATCTTGCCTTTCCATCCCTGTGAGGTGAGTTAGGCTTAGAGATGGTGACTAACCAAGTTCTCTTCCCCCCATGGCAAGGATTTGAACAGACGTTTCTCCAGTTGGAGGGTAATACTTTAACAACTGTATCATATTGGCCGTGTCCTCCAATAAGGAGTTGCCAGGATTTGTGTGCATATTATGTTGCACATACTATGTTGAGATGTTGGTTCCAATGTTTTAACAAGATGAAGGAAACTGCCCTACAATCCATGTAAGCCCTCTTCTTTCCCCTGCCCCAATTTCATGAGGTAATAAGTGTAGCTGTTGCTCTATTTTATTAACAAGTTCAGGGAAAAGATATATGAAGCACAGAATGAATATGACTGAGGAAAAACTGAAACTGGCTCTTAGCCACAACATACAATAATAATCTGAGGCAGGCCTTGGGAGGAGTTGGAGGCACGGATAGCCCTTAAAGTGAGTATGTACATAACCTGACTGTCAAAGAGATCAAAAAGTGCCAGGAAGAAGGGTATTGTAGCTGTGTAAGAAGTGTTGTTATTCAGAACAGCCACTGAACAGTTCTATTTAAAATGTGGTTTCTAGATGGATAATGAATTTGACATTTGTTTTCGTAACCATTTCTAGACTGAGTATAGAGATTCCAGAAGGCTCACTAGTTGCTGTCGTAGGTCAGGTTGGAGCTGGAAAGTCATCTTTCCTTTCTGCAGTTCTTGGAGAAATGGAGAAAATTGAAGGAAGAGCTCAGAGAAAAGTAAAGCAGATTTCTTTGACTTCAAATCAGTCTCTTATTTGAAAATAATCGCTAACTTTGAGCACATTTCTCTGCTTAAGTCTTTGAATTTTCAAATTGCATGTTTTACCTATTCAGTTCTTTCTTTCCATGGACTAGGCAATCTGTGTTTAATGGGGAGGGGGATAAATATGATGGCTCAGTTCAGTCCTACTGTGGGCTCAGCACCCATGAATGGATTCTCCACACACAACATACAGGTAACACACCAACACAATATGCATGTCTCTCCCATATGCTTCTGTTCCTTCAAAGAATGTGTGGAGGCATCCTATTCCTTGTAGGAGCCTGGCATAGTGCCAGTGCAAATAGGAAAGAAACAGTTTTGCCATATGGGTATTGTTCTACCCATGGGTGTTGCATCCATGCTAGGGCTGTATCTGAGCCTTGGGTGCTCAGTGTGCTATCCCATACCATTCAGTATCTTCTGTTATAACTATATGTATGTGGCTGGTCTAGCGACTAATAAATTCTACTATTACTACCATTCAGGACTTTGCACACACACCATTCTGTTTTCACTTTATTCAGGGTTCAGTGGCTTACGTGTCTCAGCAAGCCTGGATACAGAATTCCACTTTACAGGAAAATATCCTCTTTGGCTCAGAACTGAATAAATTCTATTATGAACGGGTTTTGGAAGCCTGTGCTTTGTTGCCAGACTTGGAACAATTGCCAATGGGGGATCAAACAGAAATTGGAGAAAGGGTGAGTGAAAAATCTTATATGTATCTACAGATTCACTAGTATTGTCATTCAAAGCAAGGCATTCATTTTATTTTAAAATGTATATCATTATTTCAAGGCAATGTCCAATCAAACTGAGCTCACTCCAGATAAACTAGAGTAGCTGTTGGTTAATAACACAGCCAGTCAGGCACTGAGAGGTCATCCTTGTCTGGACTGATTTGTGTTTCCCCTAAGGGAGCAGGCTTACAGATCTGCAGGCAGAGGCTCAGATCTCTGTAATATGTAGTGTCGTTTATAAGTTTGTTAGTGATCAAGCTGTGGCCTTTTCTTGTGAGGCAAGATTTGTCCATAGATACCCATCATACGCAGGTGAGATTACTGCAGTGTGTTTTACATGGGTTTTCCTCTGAAGATGTTTGAGAAACTTCACATGGTACAAACCCCAGTACTACTTACACTGGCAAGGTGTGTTTTTTAATTAAAGCAACTGTACTAGCTGCCTATTCATTTCCAGGCTCCTTTCAGTGTACTGGATAATCTATTTAAATATCTTGGGGACAGAATACCAAAGACTGTCTGCTCCCATATGCATTTGCCTGTCATCTGAGATCATCTTCAGAAGTCCTGCTTCATCTCTCCCCTCTGTCAGAGATGAAGATAAACTGTGAAAAGAAGCAGGGCCCTCTGGACTTCCATTCACTTTTCCCCCCTTAAGGTTTCTGCTGTCAGACTATTTTTTTGTTTAAGTCTTATATGACACACCTAACATTTTTCTGCATTTTTAAAACTGTCTGAGCTGAACTTATAATTAAGTTTTCTTAGTAGCTGCTTTTCAGTATGGCTAGATTCTGCCTCCCCCTGCTTTGGCTAGTTTTTACTGTTCTCTTTGTGTGTGTGTGTGTGTGTGTGTACGCGCGCATGCATGTGCACGCGTTCATGACAATTTTAAAGTAGTGTTGATGCATTGTATGCTATCCTCATCAAGTTATTGAAGGAAGCAGAAATTGGCAGTAGTTAAGTTTGAGAGGAGTGGTTGTGGCTCGGCAGTATGGAATATGCTTGGAATATGCTTTGTATGTAGAACAATCCAATTTAAATCCTTTGCATCATCTCCCATTAAAGGATTTATGGGCTCTTGGGAAAGATCTTTCTATGCCTGCCTGCCTACCTTGGAGAGCTGCATCACTGAGGTGAATGGACTGATGGTCTGACAGGAGAAGCCAAATAAAACTTGATTCATGATTTTGTTGTTTTAAATTGCAGTGGCTTTCTTTTCTAGGGTGTGAATATAAGTGGTGGCCAGAAGCAGAGAGTGAGCCTAGCTAGGGCTGTATACAGTAATGCGGATCTGTATTTGTTAGATGACCCCTTGTCTGCTGTTGATGTACATGTTGGGAAGCATCTTTTTGAAAAGGTGATTGGGTCCTCAGGATTATTAAAAAACAAGGTAGGCAAAGGCTAGTTTTTATAGTTTCTGCCATTATTATTTTTCACAAGGTACTGCTATTTTGAACTATAACATTCTCTCCTCTCTCTCTCTTGTGTGTATGTCCCAAGACTCGTATTTTAGTGACTCACAACCTGACACTTCTGCCTCAGACAGATATTGTAATGGTGATGGAAGATGGCAGAATTCTTGAAATGGGCAGTTATAAAGAACTGCTCTCCAAACGAGCAAACTTTTCTGAGCTTGTTCTGACATTCGGTGGAGGAAAGGAAAATAAAGAAACTCTCTCAGTATCAAGTGAGTAAATATTCATTTTCATGATTCTGTTTCCTTTTCATGATTCTGTTTCCTAAGACTTTAACCCGTTGCCTAGATAGTCATGTGGTGGTTATCATAGGTCCTTACCACACCGCAGATCATATGATGTAGCACCAGTGAATTATTTTGCCTAATGGCCTACAAGCTATGACTCTGGCTTTCGCAATAGGACCTCATGTGCATAATTGATGCATGTGATACTTACTCCTCCAGCTCAGATTTTGAAGAATAAGGATCACCTGTTATCGGACATAGACAGTTGGGTAGACATGGTAGGTGAGTTTGGCATGATCCTGCTATAGGTCTGCTAGATGGCTTGCACCTTATCTTACAGTAGCATTCACTCAAGATCCCTGATCTGTCCAAGGATTCTTAACTCTTTCTGTTGGGGATACACCCCTAGAGTGTGTGTGTTTAATGAATTGTTGTCCCAAGGTTGTCCTAAGCTGCTTCTTTTCTTTTTTTGTACCCCCTGAAGGAGATGTTTTTTATTGCATTTTCTAATAACTACATACTAAAAACTACAAACAGAAAGTCCAGGGAGGGAAAACTACATCTATGGGAGAAAGTAAAGGAAACCCTCTAAAAACCCAAGAGATGGTGATCATACATACGTTTGCAAATTTAACTCAAGGTTGTCCCAAGCTTCTGTAAACTGACCTTTTTGACAGACATGAAACATGACAGACATGTTTCATCTTTTCTGTTTTTAATTTTGTGGGGTTAAATTCAGCCTGATGTAGATCCAGGGATTCTTGATAGCAGTAATTGTTTTGTATCTCCTAGGTAATATGTGACTATAGCAAGACCTGCAGCCTATGGCTCCAGAGCCAAAAATAGCTCCATACAGAACCAAATCTTTAAGTCAAGGCATATTGGGATGATAGGGTGAGATGCTAGAATACTCACATTGAGAAGGGAATGATTAAATATCTGACTCCGGCAGCTCTTTAACAGTGATTTCAGCTTTGTTACATCAGAACAACCAACGACAAACAACAGGAGCAACGAGCTCCTTTTAAACTTCCCGGGCTGGGCAGGCCACGCCCAGTCGCACGGTAAGGCCCATCATTGTTCGTACATAAAGACCAATGGTTGTTATTCCCTCCAAGAACAATCCTGAGCCCTGGTTGGCTTGCGTTTCACCCCAACCAATCAGATCGTGCTTTTTATGATACCAGAGCTCTATGCAGCCCAGGTTGAAGCTGGACATAACTATTTGTAATCACAATACACAACAGGAATGGTCAGCAAAGACCATTATGGGATGAAATGGCTTCATAGAGATGCTTAACAGAAAGGGAAATAGAGGTGAACAGTTGCCAGCGATCCAAGTGTGAACCATATACAGATTTATGCCATTGCATTACAAGGTGCTTCTGTGTATATTTGTTACTTATTGTGAGGCCTCATGCATGCAACTTCCTAATAAGACATGGACTAACTAGTGTTTGGGTTACAGGAAGTCCATGGATTATTAGTTGTGTCAATTATCAGTAATATTTAATTGTGCAAATAGTCTGTCTTATACTGGCTCTGTTGATCAGTTGCTCTGAATTTTGACATTTGGTTCTCTAATTATAATGGTTGCTGATCCCTAGACTATAGTTATAATTTAAGGGGTGGGGAATAGTTGTACTAATCTCAGTCTGTTGGTAAACCTTGGCAATGAACGAGCAGAGAAAACTAACAAGTGTTTGAAGGGATAATAACATTCATTTTAACTCTTTTACAGAGTCGTATCCAAAAGACAGTATTAAAATAAGAGATCATGTTATACCAAAGAAAAATCAATATGTGGAGCATAAAGATATGTGAGTAATGAAATCAAAAACAACAAGAATGAGTTCATATAGTACATAAAAAGGGTGAAAGCGAACAGAATCACTGGTGACTCATGTTTCTGGTGGAATATCTAAAATGATCTAAATATCTAAAGCCGCCCTAAGCCCGTTCGCGGGGAGGGCAGGTTATAAATTTAAATAAATAAATAAATAAATAAATAAAACATGCATTTTCTCCTGCAGTGAGATCAGTGAGTTCTGCTTGAGCCTTGCAGATGCAGTGGTAGCTGGCCCCCATAAAACTGGTTCCCACTACACATGTAACACCCAGGAGCCCTTTTAAACCTGAACCAGTTTGTTTGTGATTGGTAGGGAACTGGAAATGATTGTACTCCAGCATAAAGTGCACTTGAGCCAAGCAACGTCTTCAGCTCCCTCTAATTCCAAAGTACCCAGGCTTATTCTCTCCCTTTTTGTTGTTGCCCCCCCCCCCCGAAGGGGACTTTTTATTGCTTTTCTATAAACTACAAAGACAATAGGAAAGGGAATCTAATATCTACGGGAGAAAGGAAAGTTAACCACTAAAAACCCAAGTAGTGAAGATCATTACATAAGATTATAAAATGATTAATCTAATCTATTATTAATACAATGAGCTTGAATGTTTAAATCTAGCCAATATTCCCCAAACCCCGATATCAATTACTGTTTAAGGCAATCACAAAAGCATCAAACTTAAATGTAGCTTCTTAAAGGTGGAATTCAGAGTTCCTCTGCATCTCATTTCTTAGCATTTCTTTTCCTCAAATAATAATCTCTTTTGGGGGCCGCAGCCCCAAACTCTGAATCAGAGTCCTCCTCAGTAGTCAAAGAAGAGTTTTCACCGCTTTCTTTATCCTGGTCTTCATCTTTGTTGTCTTCTCCGGACCTTCCCAGTTGCTGCTTCAAGAACTCATTTGCTTTCTTAACAGAGTTAATTCTTTCTCTTTTTTTCATTTATTCTGAAGAGTAGGCCTTCGGGAACCAGCCATTTGTACTGTATGTTGTTTGTTTGTAGAAACAATGGCAAGTCTTTGAATATCTTCCTCTTCTTTGTAATTTCAAATGGAATGTCTTTTAGTATCCGTATCGTGTTACCGTTGATTTTCAGGGGTATTCCTGATGTTGTTTTCAAGATTTGGTCCCTCACATGTCTTTTTGAGACTCTAACCACTATTTCTCCAGGCAGATTATTTTTCTTAATATATTCCAAATATGATCTGTAGACCACATCCATTTCGCTTTGAAGATATTCCATTTTCAACTCTGCCACTGTTGCAAGTAGATCACCCAATACTTGTTTTAGATACTCTTCTTTTGTCTCAGGAACCCCTTGGAATCTCAGGATAAAGCTTGCTTTTTCCATTTGTAGTTGCAAAAGCTGAGATTCATCAGGAATTCTTTTCTTTTCCAACTCCTGTACGCGCTTTTTCACCTTTTTAGATTTGGCATTAACTTCCTTCAGTGTTTTTGCTGTTTGCTCTGTTAATTTCTTGGTTTCATTCAGTTCCAGTTGTTGTGCAGCAAAGTTCTGGTTCAAAATTGTCAGTTGCTGATTGATGTTTGTCATCTGGTCCAGCAGAGAGCGCAATGATTCAGCTAATAGCTGTGAAAGCTCGTTAGTAGCTTCCGGTCTCAGGCTTCTACTTCCCGAAGGAGGCTTAAGCTGCGATGGTTTCTCTTTCTCACCTCTCCGCCCCGCCATTTTTGAGGATTGTTTACTTTTAGAAAAGTTTGCTAAAGTCTCTGTTTTCTACCAGAACACTTTGCTGCGCTCATGTGTGCTTCTTAAATCAGTTCTATGGCTTTTACGTCCGGCGCTCTCTTTTTAAAATGCGTCTGGGTATCGTGTCTTGGAGTTCCATCCCCCGCTCGCTGAAATTAGGGGGGCTTTCTAGCCAAAACCCGGTGTTTTGCTTTCACCACGATTCACAGTTCCTCGTTGGTCCTAGGACCCGCCTCAAGTACGTGTAAAACGCCCGATCTTCACGCGCTTGTTCTGGTCAGCGACTCTAGAGCCATGCGGTCGCACAGCGGTAGGACCCTCAGGGTGGAGGGAAGCCTCGATTTCCTGGCATCGAGCCGGTTGAAGAGGCAATCCCTCAAAAGCCCCATGGCTAGGAGTCCAAAAACAAGGGCTCCAGGGGGGTAGCGGACAATTGCCCCCCCTCCTATTCGCTGGAGTTTGGATCGCTACCCTGGGAGCTCACCAGGGTCGCATCCACTATCGTGCCGCCAAAAACTGGAAGTCGCTTATTCTCTCCCTTCTTCCCTCCCTCATACTCCTATCTTGATGGACCATTGGTCTGATTTACAAAAGACAGCTTCATGTGCTCAAGCAGCTCGTGAAGGTCAGGGAATACTTAGGGTTTAGGATGTAGTGAGTGGCTGCATCTTTTGCTGCATTTCTACAAGATGGGTGATGTGGCAATTTCAACTGATTTCCCTTTCCTTTTGTAGCAACCCATAGAGACATTTGTCTTAGAAGGATGTAACTCTACCTAGAATCACACTATAATTCTATGTCTAATTTAATTGACTGCTTATTGTGGTGTAGTGGTTAAGAGCAGTAGGACTCTAATCTAGAGAACCGGGTTTGATTCCCCACTCCTCCACATGAAGCCAGCTGGGTGATCTTGGGTCAGTCACAGTTCTCTCAGAGCTGTTCTCTCAAGGGCAGTTCTCAAGAGAGCTCTCTCAGCCCCACCTACCTCACAGGGTGTCTCTTGTGGGGAAAGGAAGGGAAGGTGATTGTAAGCTGCTCCGAGACTCCTTCGAGTACCGAAGAGCGGGGTATAAAACCAACTCTTTTTCTTTTGCATTTCTTTTTATCAAAGGAGCACATTCTCAATGAAGAAGGAAAAAGTTGCTACTGGTGCTGTAAGTTTTTTTAAATTATGTTCTTTCCGAAATAGTGTGGAGCTGTCAAGATAAAATGTAGGCAGATTTTTTTTTTAATCAGTATGTTCAACAATTTGAATGAAGGGGGAATTGGGTTTTTGAATGTCCCTGGGTTCATCCCAGTGTGCTGCACTAAATTTCGTCATGCACTGGAAAGACGTGTGAATAAGTTGCTCAGTTTCATTTACAAATACACTCCTGTCTGTACTTTTAATAACTGTTGTGTGCATTTCTTATATTCAGATGAAAATGTCAGTTATTTTGAAATACCTACAAGCCTTTGGATGGTCTTGGATGTGGCTCACTGTAGCTGCTTACTTGGGCCAAAATGCTGTCACAATAGGACAAAATCTATGGCTCAGCACATGGACAGCAGAAGCTAAACACTTCATAGAATGGAAACAGTTAAGAAACTACAGATTTTCCATCTATGGGCTCTTGGGATTCATACAAGGTAAACCTAAATTAATGAGAAATAGGACTTGCTTTTTTGCCATTTCAAGGCATTAGCTGCTTATATATTTGTTAGCCTAAAAAAACGCAGATGTTTTGCACTAAAACAGTATTTTTCTATTCAGGTCTACTGGACCCAAGAAAATGTTGGGATTTCCAAAAAATCCTGGATCCCAATAATGGCATTGTATTCAGATTCATTTTTATTTTCAGAAATCCCATTTCCCCCCTGGATCAAATAGACCTGAAAAGGAAAAACAAATGTGGGGAAAAAATAGCGGCAAAGCTGCAAAAAACAGCTGACAGGTGGAGCAGATTGCTCCCCCATCAGCTGTTTTTGGGGCTTTCTACTGCATTCCCTTTAAACAGAGGGCATTTAAAGGGACTGCAGAAGATAGCCCAACAAGCAGCTGACCAATGGGGAACAGTCTAGGGGTGTGCAGGTTTTTTTAATAGTTTTTTTTATTGTTGTTCTTTAAAGGGACTGCAGTAGACAGCCCAAGAAACAGCTGAGAAGTGGGAGCAATCTGCTCCTGCCTCTTCACTGTTTTCGGATCTCTCTCAGGATTTTTTTCCAGGTTTTCCCAAGAAAACCTGGATACATTAGGGGAAGCTGAAATATACCTGAAACATACAATAAGGTATTTTTTGGGTATATTTTTGGCTTGGGTGGATCCAAATGCATACCCCTAGAGCAGTCTCCCCACGGGCTCAGCTGATCTTCGGGCTGGCTTATCCTGCACCCCCGTTTAAATGAGCCTTGAGTTCTCAATGTCTTTCTGCTTACCTCTGTTTAAACGAGGCTGCTCAAGAAGCTGGCCAGCCCACAGCTGACCCAGGCGGGAGCACTCTGCTTCTCACTGGCTCAGCTGATCTTAGGGCTAGCTTCCTGTGCAACCTTGTTTAAATGAGGCTGCACCAGAAGCCAGCCCAAGGCTGACCAGGCAGGGAGCGCTTTGCTTCCTGCTGGCTCAGCTGAGTTTAGAGCTGGCGGCACATTCAGCCTCATTTAAGCAAGGCTGCACGCGAAGCCAGCCCAAAGCTGATCCAGGTGGAAGCACTCTGCTTCCTGTAGGCTCGGCTGATTCTTGGTCTGGTTCCTTGTGCAACCTCATTTAAACAAGGCTGTGTGGGAAGCCAGTCCTCTGACCAGCTAAGATGCTGGGAACCAGAACGCTCCCCACCAGGTCAGCTTTGGCCTGGCTGCTCACGCAACCTTGTTTAAATGAGGCTGCGCAAGAAGCCATCCAGCCAAAAGCTGAACGGGCTGGCAGCACTCTGCTTCCTGCTGGCTCAGCTGATCCTCAGGCTGGCTTCCGCAGTCTCTTTAAACTTTAAAGGGACTGTAGTAGAAAGCCTGACAAACAGTTGAGAGGTGGGAGCAATGTGCTTCCGCATCTCTGCCATTTTTCAGATCAACCCCAAATATATCCTGGATTTTTTTGGGAATTCCACCCCCCAGTCACAGATATTTTTGGGATCCTGAAATATACCTCAAAATACCAATAAGGTATTTTTCAGGTATATTTTTGGCTCAGGTACAAAATTGAAAGGGAGTTTAGATGAGTCAGAAAGAAACTCATGACCCCACCTGCCAAAATTTCCTTTTATAAGCTCTAGGTCTAGAACTTGAACAGACTGAGTTCTCTCCCCCATCCCCCATTTCCTTGAACTGCCCACAATATTCTGTCTCTTCTGGAGATTTTCATTCTCCCTCAAGCCATTTTGAGAGATTTTTATTTCCATTAATTTACAAACTCATGTTTTTCTGCATTTTTCCATCTTGTTATGTGAGCAGCCTGGTTTTGCAGCTTTCATCATTCCCACATGAACCAGTCAGCGGTAGAGCAGTGGTACCACTGAACTTTAACACTGCCTGGAGAGTTGACTAATCGCAAGACATTTTAAATGGAGAAACTGCTAATTTTGACATTGATGAGATTGAAAAGTAAACCCTTTGGAAAGCCTTGATGTTGCCTTCAGCATAGTTCTCTCTTCTTTCCCCTTCCCAGGTCTTCTAGTTTGCTTTGGTGCATATGTGCTTACTAGAGGATCTCTGTGTGCCTCCCGGGTGTTGCATCACCAGATGCTAGACAGTGTACTGCACCTTCCACTTCAGTATTTTGAAACTAATCCTGTAGGTCAGATCATCAACAGGTTCACCAAGGTAAAGTAGAAATACAATTCCAAATGCTGGAGAAAGAGAAGCTGCTGTTTCTCACTTTGTTGGGTCATGAGAGACTTAGGGCAATTTCGCACTAGAGCTGCCTCGCGGCGCAGGCGCTGTTTGCCCCGACCCAAACATGTTAATTTCACACCCGAGGCTGCGGGGCTGCATTTGACCCGCGGCTTCGCCCGATTTCCTCCGCAGTTTCGTGATCCTTAAAAACCAGGATCATGAAACTGCGGAGGAAATCGGGCGAAGCCGCGAGTCAAAATGCAGCCCCGCAGCCTCGGGTATGAAATTAACATGTTTGTGTCGGGGCAAACGGCGGCTGCGCTGCGAGGCAACTCTAGTGCGAAATCGCCCTCATTCACCCTTCATTGAGAACTCAGTTCTAAAAGAAGACAAGTTACTGCAAGAAGTGTCTTGCCTGTTTTCCTCTTACTTCAAGGAATAATATGCCAACAGGACCATACAGTCTGATTCCCCACCCTCCCTCAGTTTTTACTTTTACTCCCCCAGATCTCACTTAGTGAAGGAGGGCATTCCAAAATCCTTTCTGAGTGAAAGGGGTGGTCATACAAGTCCTCCTATCTCCAGCTTATAGAATACTCATGAGTCAGGGCTCAGCTACCTCACAAAGTTTTATCATTGTGCTGCCACATTTTGGAGGAGGAAGGAGACATTATATTCAAAATCTGTAAGTGAAGTGACTAAAGCCTATTCCTGGAACTCTAGGAAGAGGGCATGAGTCCCCAGTGCTTTGGTGTAGTAACATAACCAAATAGCCCTGGTAGGTTCAAGTCACTCCCCACTAATTCACATGAAAATGAAGCAAAAAAGCTTTATTGAAGGAGTTCACAAAAAGTTCTTGAAAGCAAGATAGATAGTTCAGAGGAGCCATAATGTACTTAAATAATAGAAGGCTGTCTACTCTACTTATGTATCCTATGGCAGTGATGCTGGTTGTCATGGCTCAGGTGGGGTGTCACCTGACACTGCCACCACGCTGGTTCCAGGCTCCTCTGAGAAGGCCCAGACCACCCTCCCAGGCCTTCAGACCTCCCTTTTGGCTGAATAATAGGCGTGAGGACCAGGCAGAGTGAACAATGAAAATAGTTTATTTTATAGGAGGTCAAACAAACAAGGTGCAGAATAACAACAGTAAGTGGGTGAAAAGAAATCAAATGCCCTAACGCATCTAAATATATACTGTCCCTAGCTCACTATGTCAAGTGGCCTTAAACTACTCACCCTTCCCTCAGAATGAGGGTTTCTTCCCTACAGCAGCCTCTCTGGCTCTGTTCCCTAGGAAGAAGAACAGCTTTCCCTGTTGTACCAGTTATCTTATTCCCCAGCCCTCTTCTTCCCTATTGGTCAAAATCGGTGTCAAAACTTCTCAAGGCCTTCTGGGGTTTGTAGGCCCAGCCTCCCTTACTGCTACACAGGCTCCCTGGGCCTGCTAGGCTGTGCTTGCACAGCGCAGATCATGACACTGGTTCTTACAGCTGAAGCATGATGTTCCAGATCTTACAAAGTGTATACTCAGACAACAAGAGTGGTGGGTGAAGGAAAGGGCATAAGAAGGTTCTCTCTGTTATAGTCTTTATTATATGTATGATGGCGACCATATAATCTCCTGACCTTCCCAATCAATCACAGGACTGTCTCCATGGAACTTTCTGGAGAGTGAGCTTCCCCTCCCATGCCAGATTCACAGCTGAACTGTTTGTAAGCTAATTAACAGGCTCTCAAGATGATCTTGGCCAGTAACCTTCAGTCTGAGGAGCCTTTCATTGTATCTCTAAGTATTTATTTTAGTATGAATATTTTGTATTTATTCTGATTCTTAGAAGTATCTAGCCCAGAAATATATAATGGTAATACATTTTCTTGTCAAATCTGTGATGGGGAAACCTTCAAATTATGTGTTTTTTGCATTATCTTAGGACATATTTATAGTTGACGTACGTTTTCATTATTATCTACGAACCTGGATGAATTGTACACTGGACGTTGTTGGAACAATCCTTGTAATTGTGTATGCATTACCACTTTTCGTGCTGGTGATTGTTCCACTTGGATACCTATATTTCACTATCCAAGTAAGTCCACTCAAGTTCAGCAAGAAATATACATGTTTTTGTTTTTCATAGTCTACTGAATTTAAAAAAGCAGAGAAGGGAAAATGGGCAGTTGATGAGTCTGACCAGCTTTCATGATGTAGAAAAATGTGCTGTTGTAGTAAACTGATGGACTGAGCCATTTAACATGAGTACAAATCATAACTTGGAACACAATTGCAAAACTTATGTTTCCTAATGTTATATAAAGTTGCCATTTACTATCCAAGGACTTTTAAAAAGTCTTGTTGTTGGAAGGTGAGGCCATCTAGTGCAAGGGAAACTTTATTTGGGCCACCCAAGAGAAGGTAGTTTGAAACAGCTTCCACAAAGCAAATTTCCCCCATTATTCTGTAATATGTGGTACAGCTCATCAGGGGTAATTTCATAGAAAAAGAGCTGCAGGAGCTCATTAGCATACCTAATAGGCTATTAGCATAATCGTCCATTAGCATATGTCATGCCCCCCTGATATCACTGGAAGTGATGTCAGAAGGGGAAGCAAAAGGGGGGAGGCATCTTCAAAAGCCTCCCTTTCCCTTCCTCAGGCGGGCTGGGGGGGAATCAAAGAGAGAAGGTGTTTAAACTTTAAACCCCTTTTTGCTCCCCCGCACTCCACCTTGGCGGGCCGGCTGGGGAGGGGAATGGGAGGGGAGGCTTTTAAAGATGCCCCCCCTTTTTGCTTTAAACCTGTTCTCTCTGGAGTCGTGCCATAGGAGCATCACGCCGCTGCTGCAGCACAACTCCAAAGAGAAGGGGTTTAAAGTTTAAACCCCTTCTCTCTGGAGTCGCGCCACAGGGGCGGTGCGATCTTCCCATTTTATTCCATGGCCCTATAGAATATAATGGGAAGATTGCACTGCTACTGTGGTGCGTGGTGCGTGGGGAGCTGGGGGCGGGGCTTGTGCTTGCTCTTGGGCTGCCAGAGCAGTGCTCCAGCACGGTCCGGCCCCAAATGACCCCTGCAACTCATCATTGAGATCTCTTATATGGTGGCATGAAGCCTGTCCATTGTATAGAAATTCCCCACATGTATAGCCACTTCAAGTACGATGAAGCCACTACAGAAAGCTGGCATCATCATTGTGTGTTACTGACCAACTGCTGTTGTGGTGAATTGGTTGACAGGATACTTTCTGGAAGCATGGATCATAACTTGGCACATGCTATATAACTAATTAAAGTTACTTGACCACTAGCATGCCATGTATTTCTGTGTGCTCGTAACCAGATCACTAGTTGTTCATAAACATAGTTCCTTTAGAAGTCAAAAAAGCACTGAAGAACTGTCCATACATGTCAGTGGTGTCAGTTGTCATTTTGTTATCTACAGGCAAGATGATTGCATAACCTAGGTAAAATGGGTACCATTTATTTCAGCATGGGTGGGGGCTGTGGCTCAGTGGTAGAGCATCTTCTTGGCATGCAGAAGGTCCCAGGTTCAATCCCTGGCATCTCCAGTAAGGATCAGGTAGTAGGTGATGTGAAAGGCCTCTACCTGAGTAGACAGTACTGAGTAGACAGTACTGACCTTGATGGACCAATGTTCTGATTCAGTATAAAGTAGCATCATATGTACATATGTAACCTCTCTGTAAAAGCCCTCTGTGCAGAATTTTGCGTCAGTTTTTCCAGACTTCTAAACTAATGTTTCCTGTTCTTTACTTGATATGGCTTTATTAGAGATACTATATAGCTAGCTCCCGACAGATTAGACGACTGGCTGGTGCTTCACACACACCTGTAATTTCACACTTCAGTGAAACGCTTTTGGGTGCTTCTACAGTCAGAGCATTTGGACATCAGGAAAGGTTTATGAATCAAAACAAAGATTTGATCAATGAGAACCTCGTTTGCTTCTACAACAATGTAATCTCAAACAGGTACAGTTCTAACAGTATGATAGAAAGAGATTTGTATTATGTTCCAGGCCAAATTCCTATTATAATCAACAGAAAGCTTAAATGAAGGCTGGCTTCATAACTTATTTGACATTCTGTGCAACTATTAAGACTATATTATCATACTTTCCTAGAAGTTTGCAGTAGATTAAATTCCAGCATATTTTTCAAACTAATTCCATTTAATAATTAGTTTGAAAAATATGCTGGAATTTAATCTATTGCTAACTTCTAGGAAAGTATGACAATATAGTCTTAATAATAATTTTCAGTAATTTTATCAATAAATATGACTGAGAGATCAATATATATTTCTTTCTTGTTGCTTTTCTAGAAAAAAAAGATGCTAGGGTTCAATATGACCTATCTAGAAGCCCAAATCCCTGCTGTGTTGAGAGACTCTGTAGTTACACAGAAACTAACAGAAAGCATTTAGTAGCTGTTGTAGGGCATTTGAAGAGATTATTAACCTTTTAGAAACATATGTGGAGGCTGAATATTTGTTCCTACCTTAGATGTTTTAAAAACTAGTTGTATGATCTAGCCCAATGGTTAGCAACCTTTCCTTCAGTGAGAGCTGTTTCTGAATAGTGAAAAATATCCCCTTCCCCCAGTATGTTACTAAACTTTGTTCTGGGCTAGAGACAGAACATGGTGAAATGAAGCTGACAAGCTGACATCGGTAGCTCAAGAACCACCTATGGGACACCCCTGGCTTCGTCAAATTTAAACAAATTTTTGTCCTATTTATTTCAATTGTGAAATTAAGCAGCTGCTTAACATTCCCTTGGTTTGGTGTAGTGGTTAAGTTTGGTGTAGTGGTCAAGTACACGGACTCTAATCTGGAAGAACCGGGTTTGATTCCCCACTCCTCCTCTTGCACCTGCTGGATGACCTTGGGCAAGCCATAGTCCTGGCACAGCTGTTCTTGAAAAAGAGCAGTTTCTGTCAGAGCTCTCTCAGCCCCACCTACCTCACAGGGTGTCTGTTGTGGGGAGGGGAAGGGAAAGGAGTTTGTAAGCCGCTCTGAGACTCCTTTGGGTAGTGAAGGGCGGGGTATAAATCCAATCTCTCTTCTTCTCTTTTGGTTAAATCAGTGGGTATTCCTTCATTATAGCTGTATCATGTCCCTGGCAGGCAACACAAAATTTTCTGTTGGCCCAGGGTGGGGCAGTCTGAGCCTATGGGAAGTAGATTCTCCCTGAAGGAGTCTGATGATTCTGATTCCTCAGACTCTTCTTCCCCAAAGGACATGCAGACCTGTCTCTGTCTGTTTCCACAGGAAGTCTTTCCTGAGCTTCTCCCTGAGGTCCTCTGCATCCTAGAGTTCTCCTAAGGAAATGTGATACACAGACGTAGGGATACAACACAGTCTTGCCAAAGTTACATTCCTCACTTGTTGCTGGGATACAATCAGGCTTGACTGATAACAAGTGGATGTCCCAGCCCAGCAGTGCAGGTACCTGTGAAGGTAGCATCTTTACCACATTCCATTCTTACCTAAACAATTCGAGCTGTGCCTTCTTGCTCCTGCTAGTACTATGATACTAAGGGGGGCCTGGAGACCCCAGCCGGATTCAGCTGCCTGGGCACACATGCGTAATAAATTCTATGCTGCGCAACAGGTCTTGACCAATGGAATGATGTCAACATGGCCTTTTCCTTATAAGGAGTATATGTAGTAGATAGGTAGCTCTTGCAGTGATCTTACTTGTACAATGTAACCAATAGCTTTGTATATGTACCAACATGTGCTTGCTCATCAGCAGGGGTATAAAAGATCTGACCTCCCGGATGGGGTCAGAGCAGCTTGGTTTGCAGGCTTTGGCTTTGCTCTGCTCCACTTTTATTGCTATAAATTCTATTTTTATCCTCGTCACCCAGACTTTGCCTGAGTGTCTTTATTGGACTAAGGCACTCGGACCACACAGTTGTGGAACAAAAATAAAGAAGTAGAGGAGCCGGACCTGTCTAGACAGTCTGACTCGGCCACGGCTTTTCCCCAAGGGAGGGTCTCCCTCTCTTGGAATTCCATTCCCATTGGTCTTTGATAAGGTGGTCAAATCCAAATGGGAAGCTCCTGTGAGGACCAAAACCAATCACCTGATTATCTCTCACTTCTACTCATTGGTATCTGAGGCTGCAGATTGCTTTAAACTTCCTGTAGTGGGTGCCCCAGTTGCAAGCCTGTGTTCTAACTCAGTCATCCTAACTCAGTCATCCCAGCAGAGTCGGATGGCCTCCCTAGGGATCCATGTGATAGGGGGATAGATCAATCCGTGCACAAGAACTTTGAGGTCTCATTGTCTGCTCGGAGGGCTTCCACAGTGAGCTCGCTCTTTTCAAGGGCAGTCTATTCCTGGGCCTCAGATCTTCCAGCAGTGGACAATGACATTCCCAAAGAGCTGGAGGACGAGCTAAAGATCGCTGTAGCTGCAGCTTTCTCTGTATATGCCTCCCTGGGTGCAATCCAGCTGTCATCTAGAGCTGTGGCATCCAGTGTCACAGCTAGGCACACCACCTGGCTACAGAACTGGGAAGTTGGCCCTACCTCCCAAGTCTGAGTGGCTAGCATCCCTTTCAAGGGATCTATTTGGGGATGGCATGGATAGGTACTTGACTGAGGATAAAGATAAAAAGAAGGCCTTACCCACGCATAAGAAGGAAGGCAAACCTAAGAAGCACTTCCATTTCTCTCATGTTCCCAAGAGAAACACCAGTTTTTGACCTTCTTAGTCCCCTAAGGGATGCTGGCAGGCTAAGCTTTCTGGGGGCCCCAGCTTCTGTTTCCCTAGCCCTAACAACCATAGATCCGAGGAGCAATGAAGAGCTCCTCCATATGACTCTGACAGCCAGCCAGTCCCACCAAACAACCCATTCAGCCTCCTAGAAGGGGGTCACCTCTCAGAGAACCAAACAGGACACTGCTGACAACAGGGTAGGGAGCCCACTCCCACAGGTGGCCGGCTCAGGGACTCTGGTTACAGGAAGAGACCCATTGGAGCATCAGGTTTCTGGAACTCAGGGTGATCAGGTGGGGGTTGTTAGCGTTCCAAGATCTCCTAGCTGGGAAGGATGTCCTTGTGCCCACGGACAACATGACTGCCAAGTCCTATATCAATTGCCAGGGCAGCACAAAATCCAGCACCCTTCATGCAGAGGCGACACAGATATTGCTATGGGTGGATATTCACCTTTGGTCACTCAGAACTGTCCATGTGGCCAGAACATTCAACACCTTGGCAGACTGGCTCAGCCAGTGGTCTCTGAATCAGTCAGAATGTATGCTGAACAAGGAGACTTTCTTCCAGATCTGCCACAGATTTGGTAAAGTAAAGGTGGACCTATTTGCATCAGAGCTCAATCATCAGGTGCCCAGATTCGTGACAAGAGCGAAGTGTCCTCAGGCCATAGAAGTAGATGCTCTAAGCTGCAATTGGCCAAATCAACTGCTGTACACCTTCCATCCCACTTAATTAATTCATAGAGTAGTTCAGAGGATCATAGATCTAAGAGTAGAAGTTGTGCTGCTAGCTCCATTTTGGCCATGCTGTTCTTGGTTCCAGGACCTAGTGAGGCTATCCTCTGAGGAACTGTGGCATCTTCCAGTCAGGAAGGACTTTCTTCATCAAGGACCTCTCCTCCATCTTCAGCCTGAGATGTTAAGACTCACAGCCTAGAGGTTGAGCAGTTGCAGTTTAGGGAGATAGGTTATTCGGACAAGGTCATAGACACATTAGTGGCCTTTAGCAAGGGTTCCACCAATAAGATCTACAACAACACCTGGCAGATTTTTCAGTCCTGGTGTTCGAAGAAAGGTTTGAAGAACCATGCAGAGCTAAAGTGGTGATCTTCTCTCCTTCCTTCAAGTGGGTTTGGATAAGGGTCTGAGCACCAGGACCCTAAAAAGGCAGGTAGCCACTATTATGATTATTAGAGGGGCCAAGAAAAGGCAGGGTTTCTCTCACCATCCTAATGTTATGAGATTTCTCAGGTGCATAGCCCTCTTTGGTTTCCCTCCTGGAATCTAAATATGGTGCTGACATCTCTCAGGCTCCTTTTGTCCTCACTCTCAGGCTCCACCTGTCCACTTAAGGAGCTCACATATAAGACCATCTTCGTGGTTGGTATCATCTCTGCTAGGAGGGTTTCAGAGTTTGGGGCCCTTTCAGTGGATAAAGAGCTTTGTCAGTTTGGTGAAGTTTGGTGTAGTGGTTAAGTGTGTGGACTCTAATCTGGAAGAACCAGGTTTGATTCCCCACTCCTACACTTGCAGCTGCTGGATGACCTTGAGCAAGCAGAGTTATTCTTGAAAAAGTAGTTCTCGAAAGAGCTCTCTCAGCCCCACATACCTCACAGGGTGTCTGCTGTGGGGAAGGGAAGGGAAAGGAGATTGTAAGCCGCTCTGAGACTCCTTTGGGTAGTGAAGGGCAGGATATAAATCCAATCTTCTCCTCCTCCTCCTCCTCCTCCTTCATAATGACAGAGTAATTCTGTGTACCAACCCAGCCTTTGTCCCAAAGGTTAATTCGGCCTTCCGTGGGTCAGAGGTACTAGTCTTCCCCTATTCTGCTCTAACCCTAAACAGCCTCAGGAAAGGGAATGGTACTGCTTAAACATTTGGAGAGTGCTGAGCTTCTACTTGGATTGGACTGTCCTTTGAAGTCAGATTCTATGTTTGGGTGTTTTAGGAAGGCATCCTCAGGGGAAAGGGATTTCTACCTCCGCTCTTAGCAGATGGGTCATGGGGGGTGCATTCAGATGCGCTATTTGATCTGGTGATGTGACAGTTCAGCAACAAATTTTATATGCACGATCACACAGTCAACATCTGCCTCCTGTCCCCAGCTGTTGGTTTCTGGCTCAAAACCCCTTTAACCCGGAGTATTTTGTTACCAGGTCCCAAAGTGGTGTTTTCTCAGCTCTCCTGTTTAAAGCCGCATTTTCCCCGTTTGATCGCTCCTCCGGTGTCAAGCACTTCCAGTTTAAATCCCCTCCCCGCTCGAAAGCTGCCCAAGGCTTCCGCTTTTCGGCCACCATTTTTTTTTTAATGTGTCAGTGGTGTGCACATAGGTGGAGCTCTGCTACCGTGCTTAGAAAACCGACATTTAAATGGTCACTTGTTTTAGCATTTAGATGAGTTCGGAATCTCACAGAGGCCATTTTCGGGTCAAACATTTAAAGGGAAGTCTTTTGTTGGTGGGGTTGGATTGATTCACCCTGGTGGTTCTGCGCATACGCCATGGTAGTTTCACCCCATTCTATGGATGAGTGCCTATGCGCATGTGCAAACTGAGAAAAAAATTAAAAACCTGCCGACACACGCTCCTGCGCGTTCGTAGTGTAGATGCCGGGGAGCGACGTGAGGCGGGATAAGGGAGGTAAGTGTGATCACGATTATCCAGATCAAAAATAATCGCATCAGAACCAGACCAGTTTAAACCGCTCTCAGCACGCCGTCTGAACACACCCAGGGTATATTTTCCTGACATATAAGGCCAGGGGCCTAGATTCTCCCATCGGGTGTAACAGCTCACTAGTTCAGGGGAGTGGCAGCTTTGGCAGCATACAGGGCTTTCCCTTCCTTAGAGGTGATCTGCTGTGCAGCCACTTGGAAGTCAGTTCATTCTTTCACCAAACACTACCATATTGACAAGGCAGCCTCTGCTAATGCATCCTTCGCTATGTTTTAATTCTTTACCCACTGGGTCATACTGCTTTTCTGTGTCCCATAGGTTCAGACTATCCCACTCTGGACCACCAGAGAATGGAAGGTTTGTTTCACTTACCATGAATCTCCCTTCTTGGTGGTCCTAGGGTGGGGCAGTCTCTTCCCACCCAGGGGTAGAGCCAGTTCTTCCAGAATGGCCTGTGGCCTGGTTAAGGTATGCTGCCTGGGTCCCAGGGGCCTGAACTCTTTCAGTGGGCCCCCTGCAGCTCTTCTGTTCAGTCTTCAGCGTTTGGCATTTCTACCAATTCTCTGTTTTACTCTTTTGGTTTGGTTGCTGGTGTTGGGGTTTTTCGTTTGTTCTGTTGTGAGTCTCATGCATAAGAGATGGACTGCCTTGGATCCAACCTGGGAGCTTGGGGGAGAACCTCCTCCCCTAGGGGATTAAAATCATCAGTGACCCTGCTTGCCTCCAGGAAGGAGCTACTTCCCATCGGTTCAGACTGCCCCACCCTAGGACCACTGAGAAGGGAGATTCGCAGTAAGCGAAACAAACCTTCCATTTTATACCTTATTAAAAGTTTGTTGTGTTAGCCATTCAGTTGTGTTCAACTCAAATAAACTGTTTATCGAAGTGGTACTACAGCGCTCAGCCCAACCATTAAAAGCTTGATTTTTCAGAATTGCTAAGATCTCGAGACCAAAATGCGTAGAAAGTATTATATAATTATAAGAGGAAGGTATTCTCCTTGGAAGTGTTATATGTTATTTAACTGTATATGCTATTAAAGGTTTATTGATTGATTGATTGTTATTTAACTGTGAGTAATTTATTATGGAAGTACATCTATTAAACATATAACAAGCATAAATTTGAATTGTTTGATTTCCCCCATCCCAATTTTTTTACAACAGGTGGCTGGCTGTCCGACTCGAATTTCTGGGCAACTTGATGGCTTTCTTCGCTGCACTGTTTGCAATGTTTGCTGATGGCAAGGTGGATCCTGCCACAGTGGGATTATCAATATCCTATGCACTCAATGTAAGTAATTTTGTTATGTAGCATGGATTACGTATCCTAACCTTGTGCCATTCACATTTTCATGACCAGCAGTGAAGCTTTTTATATCTCTTCAAAGTTTTCTCCTCATGAACATCTGTTTGTCATGCATAAGGGCACAAAAGTCTTCGCAGAAATCAGTTGTAAACCATATCAGTTGTAAACCATATTTTACATATATACACACACATACTGTAGGTGTATTGAGCCAACTTCTGAGCTAATCTGGGTTGTAAGAAGTCTCAAAGCACTTTCCACATTCAATGTATTAAAAACTTAAAATTAGCTCATTGGAACAGACAACAAAAATTCCAAAGGATTGATCACGGCAACATATGACATTCTGATCCACCAAGGTGGAAATAAACTAATGAGACACCAGCACAAGTGGCAACAAGATTGTGAGACCAATATTACAGAACAACAATGGTCACAAATCTGGACCTCCAAGTTAATGAATTCGCCAGTCATATCAACAAAATTACAGACATACAAGATCATCACCAGGTGGTACCTCACACCAGAGAAGCTTTCAAAAATAACCTCCTCTCATTCCTCTCAATGTTGGAAAAGATGTGGAGAAGTGGGAACATTTGCCCACTGTTGGTGGCAGTGTAGAAATATCAGAGCTTTTTGGCAAGACATTCTAAACGAAATAAAACTACTCACAGGTCACGAAGTACCATTCGACCCAACTCTAATCTTTTTGGGCATCTGGAAATCAAAAAACATACCAACGTTCAGTCGCAATTTGATCACTAGCCTCATAGTGGCTGCTAAAACATCGGTAGCCTCTAAATGGAAATCAGACAAGGCTCCAACACGTACCAACTGGCTAAACAAAGTTTGGGATCACCTTATATTAGAAAAAATCACTGACCGTTTACTTCAATCAGACACCAATCCTAAATCATCCAGTTTTAAGGAGAAATGGACCCCATTCATGGAATATATCTCAGCTTCGGATTCTCAACCTCAAAACTCTTTATACTTAAAATTACTAGACTACTAAACTTTACCTCTTTGACCATACTGCAATGCCTAGTTGTGACATTGTTTTGACATAATTTAATGAGGCACAAGTTTGTTTGTTTATTTATTTATTTATATCTACGATTTGTATACCACCCTTTACCCAAGGGTCTCTGGGCGGTTTACAGGTATATGGCCTAAGTGCCTAATTAGTTCCTATCCTAGGGCCACAATTCGACTGGGGGAGGGGCTACCTATCAACACCCGAGCAGCGCGGTCCTGTTGTATTCCACGGGCGGGCTTCCGTTGTTTCTTCCTGGAGCCTTAGGACGGGTCGACGACATCTCCTGGCAGGCTCCTGATGGACTCCTCCAGCGCGTGGCGGCTATCGATTGCAGTTCCGACCTTTGCATCAGCTCATTTTTATATTTAAGTAAACACAAGGGTTATAGGTACTACATTGAGCTTGTTGACAACAAAGTAAAACACTAGTACTATATTGGTTTGCAAATTATGTATGCTGCTTATGCTGTTCTGTAAGTTTAATACTACTTACTGTTACTTTTGAGGAAATACTAATAAAAATAATTATTTTAAAAAAATAGTTCTGGGCACTGTTTGTAGGTAGGGGCTTTAGAGAAAATCCAAGCACCTTGTGTCTTTACACAGTGACTTTATGGAACCCATTTATTTAATGAAGTCAATTCCTATCCCTGTCAACTTGTTCTATAATCAAGTATACATTTATTTCAGATAACTCAAAGTTTGAATTTTTGGGTCCGTAAAGCATGTGAAATGGAAACCAATGCAGTCTCCATTGAACGCGTTTGTGAATATGCAAACATAGATAAAGAGGTAAACATATTTCTGGAGAACTAATACTTTCTGTGGGCTGTTTTTAAAAGTGAATGAACTTAGTAGCTAGTATGGTGGGGGGTTTTCTTTGCATTACAATCAAGGGGGGAAACACTGTTATAAGCACCTTATGAATGGGGCTGAGTCTTCCCATGGTCACAGTTCTTATGTGACTTTTGGGTTTTTTTGGAATACAAACATAATGCCCCTGTATAAATCAGTGGTGTGACCTGATTTGGAGTACTGTGTACAGTTCTGGTCACCACAGCTCAAAAAGGATATTATAGCATTGGAAAAAGTGCAGAAAAGGGCAACTAGAATGATAAAAGGTTTGGAACACTTTCCCTATGAAGAAAGGGTAAAACGCTTGGGGCTCTTTAGCTTGGCGAAATGATGGCTGAGGGGTGACATGATTGAGGTTTATAAGATTATGCATGGGATAGAGCAGGTTGAGAAAGAAGTACTTTTCTCCCTTTCTCACAATACAAGAACTCGTGGGCACTCAATTAAATTGCTGAGCAGTCGGGTTAGAACAGATAAAAGGAAGTACTTCTTCACCCAAAGAGTGATTAACACATTAATTCACTGCCACAGGAGGTGGTGGTGGCTACAAGCATGGACAACTTCAAGAGGGAATTAGATAATCATATGGAACAGAAGTCCATCAGTGGCTATTAGCCACAAGGTATTAGCCACAAGGTATAGATAGGAACTCTCAGTCTGGGGCAAGTGATGCACTGTATTCTTGGTGTTTGGAGGGGGGGGGCAACAGTGGGAGGGCTTCTAATGTCCTGGCCCCACTGCTGGATCTCCTGATGGCACCTGATATTTTTGGCCACTGTGTGACAGCGTGTTGGACTAGATGGGTCATTGGCCTGATCCAACATTGGCTTCTCTTATGTTCTTATGTTCTTAAACAGGTTCTAATCTAAAAGTTACATTACCCTGGTGTCCACCAGCCATAACTTTCCTGCATTCTTTCCCTCACACTACAGTTCTCTGAGTTCCCTGAAATGCTGCTACTGAGGGATGGGGGACCCTCAGGAAAAGCATGGGGGCAAAGGGGACTGGTGAAAATCAACTGTCTGTGCCCCCATTGGCAAAAAACAAACTTTGGATCCCATACCAGTGTTATCTTGTAGGTGTAATATTAATACAGACTGTTGTGTTTTCAGGACTCCTTTATACCATTTCCCTGTAGGTTGCTTTCAGAGTTTTTTTCCTAGTTCTCATACCGCAGTATACTGTACTAGAAATACACCACTAGGCAAGGCACATCTCTGTAATATGTATAGCTGTTGTGCTGAAACTGCTTAGCCTGTGATCTTAGTAACTTATAAGTACTCTTAGTATTTTTATGTAATACTTTTCATAGTATTCAAAGCACTGAATAAGAAGGCTGATAATTGTTCTAATAACTATTGTCACATATATGCAGTGAAAAAATTAAAGTCTGTTTAGTAACATATGTATAACTACCTATCATAATCTTTACATTGTAGTCTCTTTCTCCTGGCTATGCCAAATGTGAATATTCACATATTTGGTAGGAATTTAAAATTCTGTATTTATTGCAGATGTACAATATCATTTATTAATTTCAGGCACCCTGGATACTATCCAGCCGCCCACCAGCAGGTTGGCCTAACGAAGGAGTAATACAGTTTGTCAGTTACAAACTTCAGTACAGGCCAGATCTAGGTTTCGCTCTGCAGGACATATCTTTCCAAACTAGCAGAGAAGAAAAGGTAAAATGCATGAGACTCTTTATATTCTCTGATTGCCTTTTAAACTCAATAGGTTGGATCCAGCACAGTATTTCCACTTGAGCTAAAGCTCATGTACAAGTGGAAATGCAAGAAGGAAACTGCAGTTGCCACTTATACTGTCAAATTTACTCTATCTCCACTTGTATTTCCATTTGAGCATGGTCTTGTGCAATTAATTCTGAACATTATAATGCAATCTCTAAATATTGTATTGTCTGCATACATTACTTCATGAGTGGTTCTGCTTGTATGAAGAGGGGAAGCAGTTTTTCCTGATCTCCCCACTGCAGACCCTCTGAGCTGCAATGTGAAGAGGTCAGAAAAGATCTGTTCCATGAGTTGATTACACTAGATTTACACTGATAGATAGCGTCTGCTGCTGTTGATCACTGGGTGTTTCATATGCTGGCAGACTTCTTCTTAGGCATGTAGTTTTAAATGTTTGTCTGCTTATTTTCAATCTATGAAACTTTATTTGCATGTGGTCAATCATCTGGCAAGATTGTATTGTGATTTTGGAATATGCAGTGAAAGAGAACGTGCACACTTTAAAAAGAATTCTTGTTGCAGATTGGAATCATAGGAAGAACAGGTGCAGGCAAATCAACTCTCACCAATTGTTTGTTTAGAATAGTAGAAAGAGCTGGAGGCAAAATAATCATAGATGGAATTGACATATCAACTGTTGGTCTACATGATTTACGGGGGAATCTGAACGTTATTCCACAGGTTAGTATCTTAATATTTACTATGCATATTTACCTAACTATAAAGACAAGTGCTGGAAAATTTGGTGCTGATCCTTAAGATTTCCAGTATTCTTTCCTACACTAAAAATGTAATTGTGGTGAATGCCTGGACAACTGGTGGGAAAGATTATAAATTGGTCAGGAAATAAGATTGCTAGGCAATGTAAAGTGCAATCCAGTTGAAGTTAAACACACTAAGTCCAATGAAAGATACTTAACCTTATGCTTATTGACACCAAATGGAACGAAATGTGTTTTAAAGTTCACCTAGGTCAAGTCCATAGTTGCAGCCAGTTTGTATGGCTTCCCAATCTTTTTCTTTGTGAGCATTGAAGATCTTTCCCCCCTGTCTCTTTTGGAAGTCCCCATTTGTGGGTTGTTGGTTTTTTTTGTAAAAACAGTACACATTCTACAGATAAAGGAAGTCCCCATTTATGTGTTTGCTGTGTAGCCCTTTCATCATCAGTTACTACTTTACTGTTAGATAGTGACAGATTAGGGGACTAGGAGGAATTGCAGGAGGCATCAACTATTTGGAAATTCTACCGCACCCTTCAGAATTTCCCTTGCAGAAGCTCTCAAATGCTAAAGCAGCCCCCCCCCCCCCCTACGTTCTATCCTTTCTGGAGGAATTGCAGTCCTCATCAAGCAGCATAGAACCCAAACTTGAAAGCTGTTAAAACTTGTTTTGGTATGTGGAAATATTATCTAGTTATTCTGTAGGATCCAGTCTTATTCTCCGGGACACTTCAATCAAACTTGGATCCACTTGGAAAATATTCTGATCTTGAGTTGTGGAATGCACTGGAATTGTGTGACTTGAAGAATTTTGTACAGTCACTTCCAAAAAAACTTCAGCATGAAATTTCAGAGGGTGGTGAGAATCTGAGGTATGATGTAGAGATTGTCCTCTGCTTGCTCATTGCTTGGTCCATTCCAGTTTACCTACATGTTGGTATAGTAAGCCTTTATGGTAGCATGTCTAGTGGGCAGAGTGTGTGTTCATGATACTCTAGCAGGGCATCTCATCCTGTGCACCATGGTCAGGCTAGGTGTGTAGCTAGTTTACAGTCTGACTGCATGACTCAGCTCATACTACTGTATAACTGGGGGAACGAAAAAGCCTGGTACCGTCTGGCCTTTCCTATAATTTGTCTTCAATTAAACTTTCATTTACTTTTCCCTCTTCTCTGTAACTTCCTTCATACACAGAACTAACTCTTATATCACACACATGACTGCTTATCTCACAGACCTCAGAACAAACTAACTTAACAACTGTCTTTATCAACTGTCAAACTTGTAACTGTCACTCCTGACAGATATACATATTCATCCACTCAGAAGCACTTCCAAAACTCCTCCCCCTCTCTGTCAATCACCAATCACACCACTCTTGTCTCTTCAGCCACTCTAATATATCTCAGCCATGCAACCAAACTTTTAAAGAGACACACACACATATAAAACAAGGAATCATCACACTCATTGATTAATTCTTTCTGCTACACACATACTTGCTGGAGCCAGCAGTACAAATTGCTTCATTGAGGCCTATATGTGTGCTGCTAGAACTGTACTTTGTTTTAACAGTGTGGGACAGAGACAGCTTGTCTGCCTTGCTCGTGCTTTGTTACGGAAGACAAAAGTTTTGGTCTTGGATGAAGCAACAGCCTCTGTTGATATGGAAACAGATAATCTTGTGCAGTCCACAATCCAGAAAGAATTCTGCAACTGCACAGTACTAACCATTGCTCACAGGCTGCATTCCATCATGGACTCTGACAGGTAAATTGTCAGAACAAGTGAGTAGTACAAATAAATTATAAAAAGGTTCTTTCTACCTGTAACTTGGTGAAAGCAAGCCTTTTCCCCCTTTCATATTGACAATTTTTGTCAACCTTTCTTGGTGGGGGGCTGGAGTCAAAAAGAAACATTTTCCACCTTCTCTTAGCAACTCTTTGTTGTCCCCCCCTCCATGTTGCTGCTGACAGTTGGAGGAGCAGTCAAGAAGAATGTGGAAGCAGAGCTATAGCACGTCTCCTCTTTACACAGGAGCTTGTTCCACATAAAACAAACTCACACAAGAGATAGGGGGATGATTTTGGCCAGGCCTCTGTTTTGTTTTGTGGCAGCCCACTGTGTCACATGGTGGGATTGTTCTGGTCCCTCACCTCTTTTGAAGGTGTGCAGATGACAACAATTTCTGTTTGTGAATGCTTGCATCCAACGTCAGTTTAATAGCCACCTAGTGGCTCACATCTTTTTTAAATGGCAATGAATTCAGTCGAATTCATCAGTGCTTGATGCTGAAGTTTGTGGGAGAAAGCATTCTTGCATTTAGGAAATTAGAATGTCAAAATTTGGTTTGGGAAAGGCAGATTCAATGCTTTGTTAAATAGGGTCAGACTATTTTTATACACGTCTTGATTTTCTAAATGTATGAACTGATCTTTTAAATGTTTGAAGGCAGCAGTACCACCAGCTCTGCTAGTTCCTCATTTAGCAAAAAATAATACATTGCCGCAGTATCTTTGTTTTCTGTTGCAGAGTGCTTGTTCTCGATTCTGGAAGAATTGCTGAATTTGATACTCCACAGAATTTGTTGCAACAGAGAGGCGTGTTTTATGAAATGGCATCACAAGCTGGAATACAAGAAGAGGCAGTTAATCTGTAATGAATGCTTTGCATATTTCTTTATTGGTAAATTCTGTGAAAAGTAGTAATGAAGAATGTTGATACATTTTTATAACATGATTTTAAGGAAAACTAGTAACTGAGCTGCCCATTTTATAAATGCTTTTAGTTTTATAGGGATTATTTTGGTGGATTTCTCTGATTTGCCACCAGGATATTTATAGCAAACCTTCATATAGAAGAACTTTTGATATTTAAGTGAAAGTAATTTGATACTTTCACCTGTAGCCCTTGGCTACAGTGCCCACATATGGTGGGACTCTGTCATGCTTAAATAAAGCTTGTTTCCTATTCTTCAGCATGCATTTGGACATTGTACTAGTTAGAAAAACTGTACATCCTTTCTTCATCTAGTTTCTCTTCTGTTTGGTGCAATTTATTTGACCATTAAGTTTGAATAACATACTGAGAGAATAGCTAAGTCCCCCAATTTTATCAAAAGCAAGTATGCATGCTTTTCAGGTCTCCAGAACTCTTCATCAGGCTTGATGATAAATGAGAAAGGAAAGCTGATTTCTCAAGCATAATACCGCAGGCATGCAGTTTGGTTAAGGCTGCAGCATACTCCATACTTTGGTCTGCAGCTTGTCTTATCTGAATACAAAGTCCTTTGACTATACCCTCATGCAACTGTGTCCCCCCCCCTTTTTTGGTACACATAGCTGTTGGAGTTCTGAAAAATGCAAAAGCTGTTGTTTTGTTTGGCCTTAACAAAAAAGAATAAGCCATTTTTTGGAAATATGCCTGAACTGGAGTTTATTTTTATACTAATTCCTGCAGAAATATATACATTTTTTTTTGTTCCAATTCTGTTTGGAAGACAAATGGTATCTTGTATGAAACTGTTCTCCACACACTATCAGCTTAATTTTTGTTATTTTACTTAATTTATTTGTACCCCACCTTTCTCCTCAATGGGGACCCAAAGCAGCTTACTTCATTTTCCTCTCCTCCATTCCATCCTCAAAACAACCCTGTGAGGTATGTTAGCCTGAGAGTGTGACTGGCTTCAGTGGCACAAAGTGGGATTCGAACCCAGGCTTCCCGGACACTCTTAACCTCTATCACACATTAGTACTCCAGTCTTTATCATTGCATTAGTGTTTATTGTACCATCCTTTTCAGATAAGAAGTGTTTTCCTTGTGTACAAGGTACATTCACCAGTAGGCTGTGCTGATGGAAGAACTCACCTTTAGCTTCCCTCCAGCCTTTTCAGTTTAACAAGCAGATATTCTTAGCCTCAGGTGTCCAGCTGGAAAAAGCATCAGATGACAAACACACTGTGTCATTGTATCAGAATGCTTCTAGGGGAAGAGGTGTTACCTTATAGAATGTTCTCCTGTATTAAGAAAATTCCCTGAAAAGAAAAACTGCAGCCCTTCAGGGACCGGGCTTGGAATCTTACCCCCAGACACGCAGGTTTTCAGTGTACATAAAATTATACTTTTGAAAAAAGGAACAAACAAGTATTTTTACATATTCAATCTTTCATAAAGCCTTTGATTTCCTTTCAACAGGGCAGACTTACTAACAAAGGTTCTGTAGAGATATATCAAGTGCATATTATGCACCTTCTACATGGTTAATATTTAGGATATCTTATAGCCAGTACTTCTGAATGTACTGAAGTTTAACTTTATCCACAAAGGGTGAACCTTAGCTATATTTCTGAAACTTTTTAAGAAAAATCTCCAAACTGCATTGACATTCCTGATTCCAATATACCTTTTGCCAGCACAACTATCACTCAAGTTATGAACCTAATTTGCTTTTCAACTATGTGTTCTAAATATTTTCTGCAAACTAGTTTATGTCTCCCATTCCTAAAGCAAAATGACTCACTTCAAATTTGCCTTTACAAAGAATGCACTAAGCAAGCTTTTTCAAATGTAGCCTGTTGTGGGACAGGTATCCCAATGATCTTTGGAACAAATAAATATTTATACTATTTAATTTTTATAAATCTATTATAAATTATTTGAATAAAATGAATTTATGAATATTTTGTAACCAGTATGAATCTGTTTTTGTGGTCTTGCTAGCATAATGTATATAAGGTTGAAATATGCCCAGCTATTTCCCCTTTTTTATAAAAGGATGGTCACAAAGAAGCAAAATAAATAGGCCAGGTGCAGCATCTGGTGAACAAAATACTTTAAGAATAATTTGTCATCCTAGTGCTACAGCTATTTACATTTAGAGGATATTAAGCATTTCAGAAGTCACAGGATATGTATTATGGCACTGTTCAAATGTTTTGCACACTTCCAACAGTAATTTGTCCCTGTAAACACTTAATGTAACAGCATCTCAGAATAAACAAGACATTGTACAAAGTCTTTTATTCTGATAATACAAAAAGACCATTTTGTAACTGTAGTCTCCAACAGATTACCATTTTTGTTACCCAGCCTTCATTTATGAACCACACCCCAAAACTGCAGAAAGATGTTGACTCATATAACCAGAAATGAAGTTAAGGCATGTAACCATGTAGAACTCTTTTTATTTTATATAAACCCTTGTAGGCAACTTAAATGTACGCATATTCAATAGCCTGTTTTCTCTTTTAAAAATAGTGGTTTCAGTAAGAGTACCATTTGACTAACTATACTGCCTTGTTTTAAAAATAGGGTCCTATGGTGATTTGTCAGTTACCTCATTGTAATGTCCGAAATATTTACTTCTCTCCAAAACACTAAATTTTCAGGTGACTCTCAGCTCCTTGACAGTGACCAAGTAACCCAGTCCTACAAGTTATGTGCCAGCACAACAACTCATAGGTTTAGGATTTAGAACGCTGCTAGCAAACCAGCAGTACTGGAGTCTTAACTGTGAGGGTGAGGACCACCAAAGCTGCTCTGCTTGCCCAGTAAACAGCCTTGCTGTTTCTACTACCCCAAGTTAAGACTTTTAGCATTAGGCTGCACACAAATTCCTTTCTGATCTGAAGAAAACTCCAGAAACTGCTGCATTCCTAAAAAATATAAATTTGAGATACCAAATTATATTCTTATTTTATAAGGCTGAATTTTTATTTCATTTAAAATTCTTCCATTACACTTGGTCTTTACCTAGATTTAGTCCTGCTTTGATACAGTTAGATTGATGACATTATATAGCATTTTTAACAGTGGGCTGAGGGTTTTTTTTGGCCAAGTCTAGCAAAAGTGTGACCCTGACCCACACTAAGGTTCAGAGGCACTTCTCCCAGTTTTAGGGGAGATGGTCTCAGGTTGGCAAGATCATGGGCTAAAGAAAGCAAATGTGTTCCCCTCATTATGAGAAAAATATTTCTATTTCAATCTGTCCACTACCATGGTAATGACAGATTTAATCTAAAATACATTTTAAAAAATTGTTACATGGACTGTGTTTTTCTTTCAGTCCCTACAAACAATCCGATCCATATTATTTGGCTTCCTGTGTTCCTGCATACCATTACTTTAAAAAACTTGTAGTTTCTTTAAAACTAAGGACTTGGCTAATTTTTCTGTCTCCCATGAGATAGAAAAGGATCAGAATTTAAAGACATGCTTTCCCTCACTTAATGGGCACGTTGGTATTTTGTTAACTTTGAACAGCTGACATCCATGCTATACCACAATTTTTTGAAACCTTGAATTGCTTTTAAAACTGATTTTCCTGTATATGGAGCTGCTGTTTGAAGATGTTATAAAAAAGCTAAGCCCCCTTCGGTTCACACAGTTTCAATCCTGGCTGTGTGTCTTATGCGCCTGCTAATACCAATATCATATATAGATCCTATAGGAGAACCAGCTCTACAGGGCAGTTCACACAACTTCCGCTTTGTACAATTTCTTACATGTCCTTAAAATTTTCTCCTAGGTCTTCCTTCATGCTACTAATCAGAAAAGTGCACATCTATCAAACACTCCTTTCAAATACCACTAGAAAAAGCATCACCAAGGCAGCTGTGGGTAGAGTATTGGGGACCATGTTTCAGAATTACTTTTACCCTCTGCACACAAGCTGTTGTGGTGATCTTTGACCACATTTATGCAGAGGCATATGATATGTAAGCTGGGTAATCAGAAAGATGGTGCTTGCAACTATTTCATCATAGCATATTTTGCAGCCACTGTGACTGCAGAAAATCACTGGTCGTTGTATCTCAGATTGCTTTCGTTTATGTAATATTTTTGTCCTGGTGACTGAATGTCCAGAAACACTCAATATTGCTTGCATTCACAGCATAACACTGTGTGAGCTCTGACATGTTAGGAAACGGGATCAATCCCTAAATCTTTCATTGCAAACTCAATTAAGCAGTAAACAGTGAAAGATTTACTTCAAAAGGCTAACAACAGTATTTTAAAAATACCAGTATTATTATTATTAACAGAAATTTTTGTAGAAGCCCTGGAAATATTTCTCAATACTTTCTACAAAAGCCTAGGTTAAGCTTGCTGTTTCAAGGAATTTTATGGAATGGTTACATCAGCTGCTCTTTGAATTGCAACTTTCCAGAAAAAGTAAAAACAAAACAGGAGATATTCATATTATGAAATAACTTCAGTAGCATTCACCCATCAAAACTGAAGGCCAACAGCTCAAGCAAGCTAATATATTGTCGCACAATGTCTGCAATTTCCAACTTATAATCAGAACACATACAGCTGGTGGCAACACTTATATAGGAAAAACCACAGACTAGTACTGTCTCTAACAAAGGGGTGCTTCAAGTGTCCAATAATAATGCCTCTCTGTAGCACCTGCTGTTACAGATTTTTTGGTAGTTTCTGCAAATCAGTTCTTAGCAAAGTGCTTCTATCCAAAGTATATTCAAGTTTGAACACAATCTTGAGAAAAGTGCTTTTAAATGCTGTATATGATGAACTTTAGTTGTGCTATCTGCATTAATACTGCTACACACCAGGCCAGCTCACAATCAATACCAGCTCCTGGTGTGGGGAACACCAGGATTCATTTTCAACACTATTTCAGCCGTTACTCCAGAACAATGTCATTTCATTTTCAAGTAATGAAGTCTTTGAGGTTCTGTTGATTATCAAAATTGGGGGTGGGGGAAATCTTCACAAACTTATGTTCTCTTGCAGCTCCGGTAAAAGCTGAAGATATCCTAATCAATTTCTAGTGTCCAATCCCTTGAAGACAAGAAGAGAAAATAGGTTGGATCCTATGGTTCTGCTACATGACTAATGGTGCTTTCCTAGAAGAGACTGCTGCAGCAGGAAAAGGCTCCTTGCACTGGAGAAAGGCACTACTTAGTGGGACAGATCTGCAGGATCCAACCTGAAATAGTACGGAAACATGCAAAAGGAATTAAGTTACATAGTTAAAAAGAATAGAATGTAAGAACACTGACACTCAGTTGAAATTTGTCTTTCGTAAATGTCGGTTTGGAATTTCTACAGCACTAACTTGGAGAGGCCAGGATCCCCCAACAATTCCTGCCTGGATAGCCACCCCTATTACCACTGCTAGGTCCGGGTCAACAGAGGTGTTGGGTTCCTTCCCAAAGAACTCTTTAATAACTTTTCGTATCCTTGGAATACGGGTGGAACCTCCAACTAATACAATCTCATCTACTTCTGACTTGTCTAGATGTCCTTCTTTCAATACCTGCTCTATAGGAACAAGGATCTTCTCAAAAAGGTCCTCATTTAATGTCTCAAACAGTTTCCGGGAAACTTGTGTTTCAAAGAGAATTTGTTTTGAAGTGCTGCTCGGTGTTTCTCTGTCCCTCATATTATCTTTCACTGAATGGCCATCTTCAATTAAATCCTCATCTTGTGTGCTATATGCTTGTTTCTCTTCCTGCAAATGTTCATGTTGGTTCTTCTTCTCTGGCATGGTAAGAGGTACCCTGATTGTAGAAAAATTGTGAACTGTCAAGTTCAGTTTGACAGCTTCTACAGCTTGTCTAAGTCTATGTATTTCTTCCTTTTTGGTGGGTATTGAGCCGTACGTCTGATGGACTTGATTATATAGATAGAGGAGCAGCCGCTGGTTGAAATCCTGTCCTCCAAGCATGTTGTTACCTAAAATGCAAAGTCCACACATTAAAAAATTCACACCATTAGATATCAGTGGTGGAGGGCAAGCACACTAAATCTGTGGGCGAACTTCAAAATGCGTTTAATACTCTGATAGACCTATGGAATTTCCAACACTGATATGAACAAGGCAACCTAATCATGTATTGTGCCTACCATATGATCAACAACTCAGGTCATGAAGGGGGAATGGAAATTTGGGGCGGCTGTCAGACAGAGTTTCTGCCTGAAATATTGAAAATTTGCATAACTTCACTGTAATTGTGTGTGTGTTTCTTTAAATGTTTAGTTTGACTGCAGTAGTGTAAGGAGAGTGTCTCTGCGGTGATTCTGTTTTGGTTTTTTTTTGGGGGGGGGGTTTGGTGAGATGAGTGTGGAGAGTGGTTGTTTTTAGCCTGTATGGCCGAAGAAGCAGTTTGAGTCTATTAGGGGTGGAGAAAGGATCCCAATGCAAGACAGCCTTTATAGCCCCTGATGGGTTATACAAGTTTAATGTGTTACCTTTGGGGTTAAAAGAATTCTCCAGCCTCATTTCAAAGACTAATTAATTCACTGTTAAATTGCATTAATGAGTTTGCAGTAGCATATATTGACGATATTGCTATATTCAGTCAAACCTTACAAGAACATTTACAACATTTGGAAGCCGTACTTAATAGACTGAAGGAAGCAGGGCTTACCATTAAAGCTAACAAATGTGAGTTTGGATTGCCTGAAGTAACCTATTTGGGTCACAGAGTATGGAATGGGAACATTTCACCACTGTGGAGGCTATCCAGAACTTAGATATTCCCCAAACAAAGAAACAAATGAGAAGTTTCATAGGAATGGTGAACTACTATAGAAGGTTCATTCCTAATTTTGGAGAATTAGCCATACCTTTACATTAATTGACCAAGAAGTCAAACCCAGACAAAATAATTTGGATGAAATATGCCAAGAAGCATTTTCCAAACTGAAACAAGCCCTAAATGAACAAGCCCATTTTAAGAGCACCAGACTACAAGAAAAGATTCTACATTGCCACAGATGCTTCCCAGATAGCTTTAGGTGCAGTGTTACTACAAGAAGAAGATGACATCAAACATCCTGTAGCTTATTTAAGCAGAAAATTGACAGACAGAGAGAGGAATTATTCCTCAGTTCAGAAAGAATGCTTAGGAATAGTATGGGGTTTAAACAACTTGGGAAGTTACATATGGGGACAGGAATTCACTCTGTTAACAGATCATCATTCTTTAACTTGGCTTCAATCAATGAAGAATACCAATACTCAGTTACAGAGATGGTCTTGGTACATTCAAGAATTCAATATTAACATCCAGTACATCAAAGGCAAAGATAACGTAACAGCTGATGCCTTATTGAGATGTAAGACCAAAGCCAAGATGACCACAGCGGAGAACCAACCCACAGATGACAGCAGCCCAGCAGAGGACATCCCTGAGAGGAAAACAATACCCCAGCAGAGTGGGACTGTGAGTTAAAGAAACCACAGACTTTAAATTAACAGAAACAGAGAAGAATGGACTAAAATGGACTTCCAGACTAAAGACTATAAGAGATTTCCTACGTCAGAAGAAGCTACACACAACTCTTTGGAAAAAGAGATGTGTTCTACTTAAGGACAAGGTGGGGGGATTTGTAATGATTTCATGTTTTGGTGTGTGTGTTTCTTCAAATGTTTAGTTTGACTGCAGTAATGTAAGGAAAGTGATAGAGGGAAATGAGTGTGATGTAATTGGCTCATGACTGGGAGTGTAGGGGGAGGGGTGTCTCTGAGGTGATTCTGGTGTTTTGTTTTTTTGGGTGAGATGAGTGTGGAGAGTGGTCGTTTTTAGCCTGTATGGCAGAAGAAGCAGTTTGAGTCTATCCTGTGTGGCTAAGACAAACAGTTTAGCCTGTGTGGCTAAGGCTGTCAGAGTTGAGTTTTGGTGTTTTGAGAGACAGTGTGTGACACGAAGCTTTATCAATTGTATTTATAACTTCCTTTCTTCCACAACAGTTCAAAAACAGTCCTTCCTCAGGGCCACATAGTCTTCTGAAGTGCCCAGACATAGGGTCATTCTACCATAATAAAGAGAGATTTGGAATTTTTAATTCCTGGTGGGAGCAGTAATCTTACTACATTTATGTGAACAGAGTATGTTTTAAAGGAAAAATGGTCTCCCCATTAAGGAGGATGTCACACTCGCCATTTTCACATTTTGTGGTTTGCTCCCCCCTCCTGTGGCAGCCATTTTGTGCACCCACCACCTTGTGTCAGAATTCAAAAGGTGCCCACAAGTTCAAAAAGGTTGGAGAATCTTGCTGTAGGCAGATAACGTATTCACAAAGATGTTCATAGTTTAAATGTTGCTCTTTGTCCACACTTAATATACTATGATGTTTATAACACCACACTATTGAATAGTTCACTATAAAGTTTAAGTCAAAATTCAAATATGACGCTAGCCCTATTGTGACAGCATGAGATGACTTCTAACCAAATAACACACTATCTTCTGTTTACTACAAAATTTGTTTCCTACTTTCAACTTTTATTTTTTCCTACCACTCAGATGGCAAAAATTAAAGATACCTGTGCTATGGTAGCATAAGGTATGGAAGTCTGCAAGCCTTTCTTGAGTATTGGGTACACTTGGATTTTTTTTTAATGAAAATGAAGGTATTTATACATTTAAATTCTACACATATGCCAAAATAGTACAATTTTATACGCTAATCACTCCCATTTTATTATAATGCTAAAAGATGTTAACACTCCCTTTCTCATGAGCCATCATCACTCTCATCAAGTATGTGTTCAGCTTTGCAGAAAACCACTTCACCTCTGTCTGCCACACCAACTAGCTCTTTGTTTGCTATAAGCACCTGAAAATCAGACCCATCCTAACTTTTCTGAATGTTGACCAAACTGAAAATGTAGTTGTAGACAAGCATAATACACTTCCAAGCACTATAAAAACAGACAAGATTCAATACATAATGGAAACATGCAGTGTTTCATAAACTAATGCAACACATTAATCAGAAGAAAAGGTTTCTCTGTACCTGCCATGGCTCGTGTCAGAAACATCCCTCCTTGCTTGTTCAACAGAGAAACATCCAATGTTCCTCCACCCAAATCCACAACCAGAACATTTGATACATCAGCCTTGTGGAGACCATATGCCATAGCTGCAGCTGTAGGTTCATTAATTACCCGCAGGATTTCCAGTCCTTTAAAGACAAATCAATTTGTCAAAATCTCATTCTCATTACCTGATGGTTTTATATAGCATACTCAGCATAAGTTATATAAAGCAACCCATTAATGATTCTTCTGTACCAAGTATGATCTGTGGGATATTCACCTATTTTTGCAGCTATTTCTTCCTGAGGCAGGGAACCGCATTTAATTTACAAACAAACTGTAAGGCAAAAAGTAAGAACAAGAAAAGCTGTGCTGGATCAGGCTAATGGCCCATCCAATCCAACACTCTGTGTCAGACAGTGGCCAAAACCCAAGGGTCATCAGGAGCTCCACTAATGGGGCCAGAACTCCAAAAGCCCTACCACTATGGACCCCAAAGCACCAAGAATACAGAGCATCACTTCCCCAGACATTGTGTTCCATCTACACCTTGTGGCTAATAGCCACTGATGGACCTCAGTGCCATATGTTTATTCAATCCACTCTTGACGCTGTCTATGCTTGTAGCTGCTACTTCCTGCAATTACTCTTTTGGTGTACTTCCTTTTATCTGTTCTAAACCTACTGCTCATCAATTTCATTGAGTGCTCACAAGTTCTTATGCTGTGAGAAAGGGAGAAAAGTACTTCTTTCTCTACCTGCTGTATCCCATGCATAATTTTGTAAACCTCTATCATGTCACCCTTCAGTCATCGTTTCTCCAAGCTAAACTTCTAACCTTTAATAGGGAAAGTGTTCCATCCCCTTAATCCTTTTAGTTGCCCTTGTTTGCCCCTTTACCCATGCTATAATACCTTTCTGAGGTGCACTGACCAGAACTGTACACAGTATTCCAAATGAGGCCACACCATTGTACAGGGGCATTATGATACTGGCTGATTTGTTTTCAATCTCCTTCCTAATAATCCCCAGCAGAGCATTTGCTTTTTTTATTCCAGTCACACACTGAGTCGACATCTTCAGTGAGTTATCTACCATGACTCCAAAATCTCTCTCCTGGTCAGTTACTGCCAGTTCGGACCCCATCAATGTGTATTTATAGTTAGGATTTTTGGATACAATGTGCATTGCTTTGCACTTGCCCACACTGAACCTTATTTACCACACTGACGCCCACTCGTCCAGCCTCCACCGATCCCTCTAGAGTGGCTCACAGCCCTCCCTGGTTCTCACCATCCTGAACAACTTAGTGTCATCCACAAACTTAGCCACTTCACTGCTTACTCCCCACTCTAAATCATTAATGAATAAATTAAAAGGCACCAGACCTAGTACCAAGCCCTGCAGTGCCACACTGCTTACCACATTCCACTGTGAAAACTGCCAATTTATACTCACACTCTGTTTCCTGTTAATTAACCCATTTTTAATCCACAAGAGGACTTGTCCTCTTCTCCCATGACTAGTGAGTTTACTTGGAGCCTTTGATGAAGAACTTTATCAAAAGCTTTCTGGAAATCTAGATAAACAACATATACTGAGTCACCCTTGTCCATATGCTTGGTCACTCCCTCAAAGAACTCTAAAAGGTTAGTGAGACAAGATCTTCCCTTAAAGAATCCATGCCAATTCTTCCTCAATAGCTTCTGTTCATCGATGTTTACTAATTCTATCTTTAATAACAGATTCCACCAACTTACCTGGCATCAACATTACACTGACCGGCCTGTAATTTCCCAGATCTCCTCTGGAATTTTTTTTTTAAAAGATGGGGGTTACATTAGCTACCTTCTAGTCCTTGGGAATGGAGGCAAGTTTTAGTTATAGATTGCATATTTTTGTCAGGAGATCCACAAGTTCACATTTGAGTTCTTTCAGAACTCTTGGATGTATGCCATCTGGTCCTCGTGATTTGTCAGTTTTTAATTTGTCCATCAGTCGTAGGACCTCCATTATCACCTAAATCTGACTCAGGTCTTTCAATACCCGTCCTGAAATGGGGTTCTGGAGTGGGCAAGTACCTCTCATCTTTGACAGTGAAGACCAAGGCAAAAAAAGCATTCATTCCGCTTCTCTGCCATTTTCTTATCATCCTTTAGTAATCCTCTTACCCCTTGGTCATTCAGGGGTCCCACTGCCTCTATGTCTGGTTTCCTGCTACTAATGTATTTGAAGAAATTTTTATTGTTGGTCTTTATGTTTTTTGCCATATGTTCCTCATAGACCATTTTTGTCCATCTGATTACCGACTTGCATTTTATTTGCCAAAGCCTGTGCTCCCTTTTATTTACCTCACTCGGACTAGCCTTCCACCCTTCAATGGAATCCTTCTTATCTTTTACTGCTTTCATCACTTTGTTTGTTTGTTAACCATGCGGGCCTTTTGTAATACCTATTCGTACCTTTCCTAACCTGTGTATACATTTTAACGGAGCTTCCAGGACACTACTAGTTTTAAAGTTTCCAAGCTTCCTGAAGGGATTTGACCCTCCTTTCCTTTCAGTTTTTTTCTTCACTAGCCCTTTGAGAAAAGTTACCCCTTCTAAAGTTAAATGTGGCTGTGTTGGGCAGTACCCTATTTACATAAATGTTAAACTTAGTAGCATTAGGATCGCTATTCCCAACCTGTGCTATCATGTTTACATCTCTCATCAGGTCTTGGGCATCACATAGGACCAAGTCCAGGATCACTGCCCCCTGGTAGGTTCACTGACCGTCTGTCTATGGCACAGTCATTTAGAGTACCAATCTTTTTCTCTTGACTTGAACACATATTTTTTATGAATAAATTTTTATTAAGTTTTTAAAATACACAAGGATGAGGAAGGGGAAAGCAAAAGTAATGATTTTCTGCATGTAATTTCCCTCTACTTATCATTTCATGTTATACACAGATAAACTGCAAGGTTTAAAGTTTATAAAGTCTTCTTAATATTATAATATTAGAGAGTCCATATCTTTATATTTCTCTCTTATTCAATTATAAAATGGAGTCCATAGTCCAACAAAGTCTTCTACCATTTGCCCTTTTAACATCGAGGTCAATTTATCCATTTCCGCACTGACTTGAACACATATTGACCCAATCAATGTGTTGGTAGTTAAAATCACCCATTACCAGGGCTATTTTTGGGCTGGAATGCACCGGAACAGGGTTCCGGCTGCCTTCCGAGCCCACCCCTCCCTCACCCCCTGCCCCCCCAGTTCCCAGCGCACTGTTCTCAGCTGCATCGTGCCTCCTCTTCCCGTTATGCCGCAGCAGCCAATGGCGGGGCTCTCTCCGGGAAGGCTTGGGCGGGCGGGGCGGCTCCCTGGTGGAGCAAGCAGGCAGGCAGGCGAGCAGCAGGAACCCAGAGCGCTGGAGTTCAGCCCTTTCTTCTCCTGCCTGTTGACAACATCGCCGGAAGGTGGCGAGAAGCATGCTGCGCTCCTGGCCTCTCCGTGCCAAGAACACCCCGTGTGCCCTCCTTGCCCAGATGCACATGGCATGCAGCCTGGGTCTTGCCCACCGTTTCAGTCAAGGGCCCACTGGCCCGCCCTGCCGCACTGTGGTCCCTTCCACCTCTCCTCTCTCCAGCGTCCCCCTCCTGCTTCTTTATGAATGCTTACATCCCCTTCGTTTTCCCATCTTGACCTGCTTGCTATCCTAGTACAGCACTTCACAGGGCATTGCTCTAATTCACGGGTGGCCACCCCTCCCCCTCATCTGGCACATCAGGAAAAAAAGATGATTGCAGAAAAAGTTGCAGCACTCTGGGCTCCTCAGGAATCGCTTGTCTCCTCCCCACTTTACAAAATCTCTTTTTATTTACACCGTATTTCTCCTCCCACTCGTTGCTGGATCTTTTCTCCTGGACTCATTCAAAGGGTTTCCTCCCCTCCTTCTGTTCCCAAATATAGTAGGAACACCCTCTTTCCTCTCTATTCCCAACCCCTTCCTCCTGCCCCACCCTTTCCATCCATTACCTGGATCTCAATTTGAGGAATGAATGGCTACAGAGACCTAGTTCTCACCAGGAACAGCCCCTCGCACTTCTGCAGCAAAACTCCCACCAGGAAAGGTTAGCACACAGAAAAGAGATCCCTCTTCCACCACCACCCCGCAAGCGAGCAAGCCTGACCCCAGATCGCAGAGAGCAAACTGGGAGGGCAGACTCCGCTGCAGCCTTTATGGAAAACAGCAAGCCCAAGGAGGTGGGGGGGGTACTGGAGAAGGAAGGAAGGAGAGAACAAGGTGCAAAAATGTAATTTCACAAAGATCAAAGTTCCCTTCCCTTACTATTGTGATTTTTGCTGTTCTTGGTCATGTTGAAATTGCTTTTGTTGGCCGGCCCAGTTTCTCTACTTGCTCACTCTAACTTTGCCCCATTTCTTCTCTCATTCCAGCAGAATGGACTGGAAAAGGGGAGAAAGGGAGGCGGGGGGGGACTGCCAGGGAGGTATAGAATGGGACTTAAAAGTGTGTGTTCTTTAAAACTTTCTGCCAGTAGATACTGGTTGGAGAAGGGGCGGGGGGGGGTGGGGGGGGGGGAGAGGCTTCGACATGTGCTTTTGTTTTAAGAGAAAGGGATCTTGTGCTCCTCCCCACTTTTCCACACCCTGCTTTACAAAAAAAAAAGACTATGGCAAAACCAAGGGGAATTGCCTCTTTGAATTCTTACATGCAATCCTGGCTTCATCGGAGCTGGCTACAAGAACAGATAGACTTGAGTGTCATGCCTGCCCCTGATGAAGCACCTGACAGCCAGGAGCACGTGGAGTTGGCACCACAAGCCCCTGATGAACACCCAGAAGCAGAGCCTTACAGCCAGGAAATGGCTCCTTTAGCAGAAGACTCTCTAAGTCTTGAGGAGGATAGAGCCTCCCAAGAGACACCTGCGCCGGATCAGGCTCTGCTTACCTCAGACAATTCACCCCCTGACTCTCCGCCACCTGTGAACCGGCTCAGGAGTCAGTGAAGACAGGAGCTGAACGAGAGAAGGAAAGCTGCACGCATGCGTGGCAGACGCTAGTTCAGCCCTGAGTATTAGCAGCAGCATGACCTTGCTCAGCAAGAGATAACAAGCTAATGAGCCAGTACGCTATATAACCAAACCTGCTGCTGGCAGAGATTTGTGCTGGCAACTTCGATTAACAGGACCAAACGCTCCGTGCCTTCCTGCTCCGGACCCCTTGACACCTTGTCGGTTTGCTACTTGGCTTTTTGAACTTCGCCCCCTTGACACTCAGCATTGTTTGACCCTGACCTTGGCTCTGCACTTCTCTGGCTTCGTTTGATTTATGGACCTTGACTTATGGTATGTTTGATGCTGGCTTTGTGAACTGATTTGGACTTGTTTGAACTGTGCTGCTTGACCTACTCGGCTGAAACTCGGACTGGCTTTGGACTTTGCTTGTTTGCCCCACACTCCCTGGCCCTGCCGTGACATTGAGAGACATGTGTGTGTGTGCGAGCCAGGAATAAGGGCCAGCACTGTCAACATGGTGTGTGTATATCTGAATAATTTGTAGTTTGTGCATTTGAATTGGACAAGAATATTTTGTGCCCTCTGACTCAACTTGATTGCTGCATTGCTAGCAGTCTTGTCGTGATGTTACTGAGAACTCTGAACGTTAAGGTTGAAGTAATTGTCACTGAGGCAGTTATAGGTGGGCTGGGCTGCTTGAGTGGTTTGTTGTTGTTGTTTTTGAAAAATTAGTTTTTGTTTTCCTGTGAGGGTAAGAGTTGTAATCTGGAGGCTTTGTCTGGAAGAAATGCTAGTAGGATGGGTGGCTGGCATTTGGGTTCCTTAGCACACTTAGCTGGAATGCAGGCCTCTCCAGTTTTGAGAGTCAAGATCTCATTAAGAGAGAGAGAGAGAGAGAGGCTGAGAATTTCTTTTCCCTCTTTAACACCTAAGTTAGTGAAAGGAAAAGAAGGACGTGCTGAGTTTCCTTTTAGAAATAATCAAGAGTTTGTATTCACCAGCTAGTTTCAGAATAAATCTGCTAATTTTACCCCAATAGGAATGTCTCTAATATATCTGAGTCAGGAATGCGTATGTATTTTTATACAATCAGTTTCGCTTCTACTTTTCTTGCTTCTTCCCTGATGCTGTTTTGGGTTTGTTTTTTCCTCTTTAATGTTTAACACTGAGGTCATATCTTTCGAAGTAAATTTTAAAGTGAGAAAAATATACACACAGTAATTCTAAGCAGGTCTACTCAGAAATAAGTCCCCTTTTTATTCAAAGGGGCTTACTCCCAAGCAAGTGTTTGAAAGCAGAGCTGTTTGTCTGCACAGCAGAATTCTATAGTCTGGCTCTTTGAGGAATACGTTCACACTGAGCCTTGTTACTTAAGAAAAAAACAGAAGTTCTGTATTATAAGATAACTCCATTCTAGATAGGAAATGTAGAGTATCTAAGCTAGGATGGAGAGAGATTGTAGAAAGAATGGACAGAGGAAGAAAGAGAAAGGACATGACCAGAAGGAAGGGAATCCCAAGAAAAGTGTTCTGGGTAACAAAGGGACAGCTGTAGGAGTGGACAAAATAAAGGTCAGGAAGCACCATATCTAGCCATTCACTGACTACTGCCCTCCCCTGAGATTCGGGTGTCTGTGCTAGTATTAGGTGACATTGCAGAGTCCATCTCTTCGCTGTCATGGATGTGGCCTAATATGCTAATGAGTTTCTGCTGTTGGGTGTGGCCTATTAGGCTAATGAGTTCCTGTTGGGCTTTTTCTACAAAAAGAGCCCTGCTACTACACAATTATTTCATCTAGCTGCTTTTTAAATCCTTTTGCTCCTTTTAAATCATTCTCTAACCTTTGATCTGATGGGCGATAAACTCCCAGAGTTAAGCTTTCTTTTGGGCACACAATTTCCACCTATAACATTTCTGTAAGAGAATCCATTTCTCTTACATTCTCAATCTTACAGGACTATATACCCTCTCTGACATACAGAGCCGCTCCACCTCCAACCTTTTCCTCCCTATCCTTCCGATATAATTTATATCCAGGAATTACTGTATCCCACTGATTATCTTCATCCCATCACGTTTCTGAAATGCCCACAATGTTGATGTTCTCTTCTGACACTAAGCATTCTAGCTCCCCTATTTTACCTCGGACACTTTTAGCATTTGTATTTAAACATCTATAATTTCCCAGAAACGTTATGCCTGCAGCCTTCCTCCTGTGGCCTCTAGACCTTGTCAGGCAGTGAATATTGTTTGTCACCATCTCAGTGGCCAGTCCTAATCCATGTGCCTGACTGTCTCTGCTTTTTCAGGGGAAGTGAATTCATTCCCTGAGAACCAGGAGCTCCTTGCACTGAGCACACACCCATGTTTGTACATTGGTTTTTTCTTACAGCATTCGCTGTGACATATGAACAAGGCTATACCCTCTGATACTATGAAAAAAACTTCAGTTTCACAGCAGTACCAAGAAAAATGTGAATTACCTGCAAGGCTAGCTGCCTTTATTGTATAGTTTCGTTGTCTTTCATCAAATTCTGCTGGTACTGAAATTACTGCCTTGGAAATGGGCATGCCAAGGTAGTCCTCTGACATCCTCTTCAGCTTAAGGAGCAGCTGAGAACCAATATATTCTGGTGTTATGTTATATGTCTCATTTGTCGCAATGGAAAATTCTGCAGCTCCTTCATTATTAAGAATCTGGGGGGGGGGAACAGAATAATAAAACCTTTATGTATGAAGCACACCTCCCTCAATAAGTAAAATATCCAATGTGCCACCAGGATTTATCATGAAAGCTTTACTCTTCAATTAAAAATCATCTAACTGACCTGGTCTTTCATTATGTACAGTCACATAGAGAACCAGTTTGGCACAGTGGTTAGAGTGTCAGAGTAGGATCTGGGAGAGCCAGATTCAAATCCCCACTCTGCCATGAAAGTTGTTGTGGATTTCAAATGGAGAAGGGGAGAATGTTGTAAGCGCATCTCCACAAGGGAGAAAAGTGGGGTATGAATGCAGTTAATACTAACAACAGGATTAACATGAAGCACAACGAATTTAGGCTGCAGTGTAGTAAAAATCAAACAGTCTCAGCAACACAAATATATTTCAAACATACACTGCAATGAAAATACTTCTTGGAATAAGTATTTAACTACTCATGTTTCGAGAGCAAACAAATTATCTACAGTCATTTAACCTGGGAAAGTGAGAGCAATTGTGATCACCAAATATATCTTTAAAGTAACTACCTGGAAACCACAGCTTTCAGCTTACCTTAAATGGGTATCTCCTGCTTTCCCATCTCAGTTCTTCAGGAGTGAAAATCTTCCCTATAAATCTTTTGGCATCATACACAGTGTTCTGTGGGTTTGAATCGGCCAGCTCTAGTCCATCATAACCTACATACACATCTTTCTCTGTGAAAGACACTATGCTTGGGATGCTGTTGTGCCCATTTTCATCAGGAATCACTTTCACCTGTCCTGTGCCAGGAAGGAACACACCAACAGAACAGTATGTAGTGCCAAGATCAACTCCGATTACTTTTGGTGTGGGCATGGGCAAATACTGTTGGGCTAGGTATCCAGCTAACAAAAGAGTCAAAATAGCAGAACCTACAACAAGAAAAAGAAGAAGTCAAGAATCCATCCCATTAAAGGTCAATATGTTATCAGAAAAGTGAAAACCTTTCCGTTGTAATAGCCTCATTTCTTTGAATGAGCAAAATGTTTATCCAGAAAATTCAACACAAAAAAGAGACAACATGTATTGTGTTCTTAAAATACTTAAATAGTAATGTTGAGGATTTATTGGAAAAGTTTTTTTTTTATTCAGTTTCTAATTAAACTTTTAAAAACATGGTTAGTAAATCATGAAAAAGAAGAAAACGTTTAGCGCAACTCCCTCTCGAAAAGGCCATTTTAAAAGAAATTTTATAAGTGTTAATAACTGCTTAGAGTTAATAAATAAAACAAATTAGCCCAAGTATTCATTTGAATTACTGTTTAATTTGGTCAGTATAGAGTGGATAACAATAATAAATAATGCAATACTAAGAGTACAACTCTGAACCAACTTACTTCAGCTTAAGCCTATGGAAATCAGTGGATTTAGACTGAGAAAACTGCATAGGATTGCATGCCTTTTCTATTGTCCTTTACCACAAGACAACCATTCAGTTTATATGCATTCTAATGTTGCCAAACATGCATATGTATCAATTTAGGTCACTCAAATACTTGAAAATTGTGACAATTTCTATAACACATATTTTTAAAGTAGGCTTCTGAAGCAAATAAGAATTGATTCTTCATGAACTTCTTAATTTTCAGGAAGGGTCTATAGGGGGGAATTTGAATTCCCCTCTTACTGTCTGAAACGCACACCCCATTCTGCTGCTGCATGTGGGCTTCATCTGTGTATGCAGCCCAATCATGAAGGGATAATGGACTATACCACCTCAGACTCCAGGGGAAGAATTACATTTTTCAAACATTTTCTAGATCAGTAATTTCCTGCGTGAGGAGGTATGCTGATGCTAGCTGTGTGAAGGCCATCCATGGCTGGCAGGTGGCTGAGAAGGAGTTCCACATTCACCTCCTCAGATATGAGGTTATCAGATGTTATACCAAGTTTACCCTTCACATCTTCAGAGACCTCTGACTGGGAGGGGAGGGAGTTAAATCTTCACCCTCATCCACCTCCTCCAGTTGGGACTTTTCTCCCCTCCTCTCTGAGTTAGCTCTATATGGAGAGAAGAGTAGCCCTGACCATGTCCTCCTTGACTCTGGGCTGAAGGAACTTAAGTAGACTCTTACTATCCCTTCCTTTCTTCTGTTTCTGGTTTGTGGGGTCCAGCAAATGCCAGGTACTGCATCCCATCTCTGGAAAAGCCTTGGACCCGTGTGTGCCCCCACTCTGTGAGCAACTTTGCCCTGGCCTCTTCCCTGGCCTGACCCCCTCAGTCTACCATTCAGCTGCAGAGGCATGGCTTCGATTTTTTGCCCTGCCAGAGTTTGAAGCCATGGCATTGCCAGATTGCTATCTGCTTCAGCTACGCCTTACCACCAGCCTTGCCACTGGAGTCACAGGCAATATTCCCTCTAAGCTGAGTTAGTGTGAGCTAGCTCACAGTTTTTTAGCCTCCAGCTCACACATTTTTGGTAAACTAATTTATGCAGTAGCCAAATCGCTCGCTCACAACTTTAATGCCAGTAGCTCACAAAGTAGAATTTTTGCTCACAAGATTCCACAGCTTAGAGGGCACACTGGTCACAGGTAAGCCTTATGTCCCTTCCAGTCCCTGATGGAGCGCTGTAGTCCCCCCCACCTCCCCTGCCTTTGGGGTGGCTGCAGGATAGTCAGAGCCCCCATCCACCTCTGGACACCCTAAAAGTGAAGAACTGACATACAGTGCAAAAGGCTATGACAGGATCTTTATCAGTGAGGTACTACCCTGTTTTCCCAAAAATAAGACCTACCCCCAAAATAAGCCCTAGCAGGATTTCTATGCATTTGTGGTATAAGCCCTAGTATGTCTTCTTGAGAAAAAATAAATATAAGACAGTGTCTTATGTTCGGGCATCCACCTCTGGACACCCTAAAAGTGAAGAACTGACATACAGTGCAAAAGGCTATGACAGGATCTTTATCACTGAGGTACTAGCTATAGTTTACATGTATTTTTTTTTAATGAGGGAGCATTGAGCATGCAATTACCCACTCCCATCCAATGTGGATTTTTTTACCTCAGATTTCTGGTATTTCATTCTGCTACATACACAGACAAAGCCCCACATAAGAATAATTAATTGACTGTCTAGTAAAATGATTGTGTAGATTATTACATTTTCTTTTTTTTTTGAAGCCCCCAAAGGGTTTTTTTTTATAATACTACACAAACTACATTACCTCAGATTTCTAGTATTTCATTCTGCTACAGTATTTCATTCTTTTTTTTTCTGAAACTCCCAAAGGGGTTTTTTAAAAAATAATACTACACAAACTACAAAGAAAAGGGGGGGGGGCTAGATTATTACATTTTCTGGAGTTCTCTAGGCTGTTTTAAGGGAGGCAAGAACAAATGAAAGCTTTCTCATTCAGTAAAACAAACATATTATAATTTTTCAAATTTGTAGATTCAAAGTACTGATTCAACCCAGTACTGAGGCAGAGGCAAAATTAATCTAGGGTATCTACATGAATACATGAAGCTGATTTATATAGAATCAGATCACTGGGCCACGAAGGTCAGTACTCTCTACTCAGACTGGTTTTATGCAGAGGTCTCCTTTGGAGGTTTTCAAACAGAGGCTAGATGGCCATCTGACAGCAATGCTGATTGTGTGAACTTACGACAGATCGTGAGAGGGAGGGCAGGAAGGCCTGCAGCAATGCTTAGTTCTTGTGGCCCTTTCTTACATGCCCAGGGAAATGCTGATTGCCACTTCAGGGTCAGAAAGCAATTTTCCTCCAGGCCAGTTTGGCTGAAGATCCTGGAGGTTTTTTGTCATCTTCTGGGCATGGAACACATGGAACAGAGGTCACTGAGGGTGTGGGGGGAGGGATTTGTGGATTTCCTGCATTGTGCAGGGGGCTGGACTAGATGATCCTGGAGGTCTCTTCCAACTCTATGATTCTAAGTTCAACCCAATGTATAACTTCTTTTTTTTTGTACCACTAAATGGACATGCCAGTATGATATTACGGCTTGTTACAAACACTGTGCATGTGCTGTTAGAGGTGCTAATACAATGCTTAATTTAGACTTCTGCCCCAAAGAATTCACTATAAAAGTGAAGAGGACTAGCAAATTTTCCAAGAACACTGAGTTCTGGGGCATCTGAAAGCTCTAGTGGTAAGAGTTCACAGAATAACAGAATCAATTTTTCAGGGCCACGCCACAATTTTTCAGGGCCACACTGCAATCTACAGCATATGCTTTGATGGCAGGTCCCCAGTTCAGATGTTGGCATGTCCAGATTAAAAATATCTGGTAGAATGGCTCATATGAGCTGTAGCTGAAACACTGAAATCCAACACCAGTTGGAGTAGACAGTGCTAGGCTGGATGGACCAATCGAATGACTCAATTCAAGGCACCTTCATACGTTCAAGGCTGCAGCACTGCGCACACTTGCCTGGGAGTAAGTGACATTAAACCCTTTGGGACTTACTTCTGAACACCTATGCATACAATCAGATTTAACTTCACTGAAACTCTCTGGATTTGCAAATCTAATTTCAGGGATTTTTTTAAAAGAGAAGATCTTTCTGTTCTTATCTGCTAGAAAGTTAAAAGATATGGGAAAATAGGGTTTTATAGCAGTCTTGAGCGCGTGCTCTCGCTCTCTCTCAGCAGCCAAACACACACATACACCAGCTTGAGACACAAGAAACCTTGAACTGAAAACTGATTACAAGTCTTGTGCTGTGAAGCAGTTAAAGGCAATGTGCTGCACACTCCTTTGTCTTAAAAGATGAAAAATAGGCAGCATGAAAAACAGTCTCACCAGTGGCAAGCATGTTTGTTGATGCTGATTATAAGGTAACAACACCTTGGGAACCACTACTGAAATGATATACACACTGAAGGGCTACTACAGCATTGCATACACCTAAGGACTACAGCCAGAGTGCAAGCAGCACTGCATCTCCTAAATAGCATGAACAATCAGGAATGAGGAGGAAACAAATCCTTCAAGCTCAAGTAAGGCAGAAGAGAATGAAACCTACATACAAAAACACTACAATGTGTGAGGGACATCTGTCTGCTGCACTCTCTCATCAGCACCACTGCTACCATCACAGAAATAAAGGACAATCCTTGTTCTACAGAGTTATGAGCAACAAGGAGCAAAGAAAGTAAAATGTGTTGTTGTAAAATCTTCAGGGGGGGGGGAGATGAAAAAATAGTGTTGGTCCAATCTGCCACATCTCCCTCCCTGCTCCCATTTTTCTGTCCTATGTGCCTTCTTAGTAGCTAAATGCCAGTATTTGTTATTGATACATGATTTCTCCCCCAAATTTAACAGAAGTCTTGTGGCACTACAAAATTTTAAATCATAAGCTTTAACAGGACCACTACTTCAGCTGCAATAAATTGATCTGCACCATGCCATTACTTAGTGTTAAAAAACCCAATAAAACTCAAGTTAAGGCCCTATTAAAAGAAAGTAATACAGCATTGCATTTTTCCTGATTAGATTTATTTTTTACGTAATTACACTTCACTCTGTACTTCTTGAATTTCATGACCCCGTTTGCCCCTCCCATATATAAAGTTAGTGTGAAATGATTATTCACTCATAGTGTCTAAAGAAGTCGACTCTAGTTCATAAATATTTACACTGGAATAAAATTTTATTAGTTTTTCAGAAGCCACTAAACTCCTGTTCATTTTTGCTACAGCAGAGTGGCACAGCTTCCCTCCGGGAAGTATGCCCAAAATAAATTAATCTAAACATAGGTTTCCATAGAATACTTTCAACTTTAAATATTTATGTATGTAAAAGAAAACATCCATTGAAAGTATTATCAGATAACCAGGGATGGAGAAAAGGGCAGATGAAGAATCTAAATAGCTCACACCAGGTAGACAGAGGTAAAGCTTCCATAACGACCATACTTTAATCTTATCATTCCTGCACAATGCTCAAGATTTCTCACTTGAATTCCCACTTTACCCGTTTTATCACTACAATGAGGTAGTTCATGCTAGCCCAAGATCACCCAATGAGCTTCATAACTAATTGAGAATTTGAACCCATGTGTTTTGCTCTACTACACCGGCTCCCTTCCTGTGGCCCTGGCTATCACTGGCCAATCTGGAAACCAAATTGTCCGACCGGCCGACACATCACCAATCTCGAATGTGCCTAGCCCTCTTGGGTTAAAAACTGGAAAGCACTCTATAGACCCTCGGATACACCCGTCTTTATCTCTGCCTGACAAGAGGCGATGCCAAGCCCTATGCTGAGGCTTCATTGCTGGGGCTATCTCCCCGAAAAGTAGAAAGGCGAGAGCTAAGAGCTCGTAAAGACGCGCCGGACAAAAGCTAGACAAATCCGGCATGCAACTCACCCAGTATCGTCATTTCTCCGGCCATCTTCACAAGAGTCGATTTGGTCCTCTGCCGCGAATTCTACGATGGCACTTCTTGTGGCACTAACCGGCTTCCTGGGTTGTTAGCGGAGTGATGACTATACCTTCGTTTCGCATGAGCATCTCGGAAGCCACCGGTATGTCGCGTGGCATCCTGGGAAATGTAGTCTCGCTGCGCGAGAGTCCCATTACACAGTGTAGATAAAAACTACATTACCCGTCAGGTAATCCACTTTGAGGAAGTACGTACTCCTGTGTTTACCCAAAATACCTCATCGCATCTCTATGATGGGGCTGATGGGACAGGGAGGAAACTTCCTGGTGGGGGGGAGGGGACAACTGCTATGACGTTTTCCTGTGCTTTGTCTTTCGGGAGCTGTAATATGAACACATAGATAGTAGACATAAACCTGCCTTATACTTCTTCTCGCCTTTGGTCTGGGGCTGAGGGAGGACTGGGGGTGAGGCACTTTTCTAAGACCGTGTCTTCCTACTTAATTGTTTCATCAGGTATGCAAAGCTGAGTACTGTTCTTCCTAGTTGTAAATATCTAATCCTTTTAGTCTTTCTTTGCTTTCGGTAGAAAGTTAGCTTTTACGGGGTTGCTCCCTTTGTAGATATGGGACGCAGACGCATTTATTTAATTCTTTAAAGGAAAAAAATGTTTTTGGAATGAAACATATAACTTCAGCACAACATATAGTTCTTTCAATTTTAAAAGTTCTGAATAAATTAGAATATGTATATGTATACACAAACACACATATATGTATGTTTCTCAGCACTTTAATGCACTCAATGGTAAGGAGTTTAATAAAGCTGATGTCAAATGACTCTTTAATTTTGATCCTATTGACGTTTTACTCAGAAGTTAGCTACAGGTTGCTCAATGGGGTTTGTTCCTCTCTAGGTGTGAAGTGTATTTTAGCCAAGTGTAAATTAGCCTTTATACTAGCTACTATACCTCTTCTGCTGAACACGCATGCAGGGGTGGGAAATGGTCAGTAAAATCAGTAAAAGTCAGTTTTTTCATCTTGGTCAATAATTTGTCAGTTTTTAAATTTTTATTTATTTATTTATTTCAATTTATATACCGCTTTAAAAAAATTGGTCAGTAAAGTCAGTATTTCTTTGATTTTTTTAAATGCAGTTTGTGTTTTTCTGTTTTCATTACTGCATTTTTGGGGAAACATGATGACTTCCCAGTGAGAAGACAGATTGTTTTCAGTTTAGTTATGAACTACTTTAAGGACTTTGTTCCTAAGAGTAAGAGTGACTTGGTGAAATATTCCACAAAGTATAGAAACATAATTAACCTATTAAAACATGAGACAATGAAAGTAGAGGTGATGGATATTGTGGGCTTCAACATGACACAGCTCATGCTAGAAGGAGTTGCGAAACAATGGAAGAAGAGGACAAGGAGAAAAAATGCTCGTGGATGCAGTGCAGAAAACTGTTGGCTCAGTCGGCTTAGTCTGAGCCAACCAGCCACGGCTTGCAATGCCCAGTCCTGATCTTCCGGTTTGAAGTCAGACTGGCTGCCCAACAACAGATAGAGCTGGGTGTCATCCGCATACTGGTGACATCCCAGCCCATGCCTCTGGGCAAGGAGGCGCATGTAAATGTTAAATAACACTGGGGACAGCACCGCCCCTTGGGGCACTCCACAAATCAGTGGGTGCCTTTGGGATAACTGCTTCCCTGGTGCTACCCTTTGTCCCCGGCCCTGAAGGAAAGAAGCCAGCCATTGCATGGCAGGCCCCTGGACTCCAGTGTCAACGAGGCGGTGGATCAGTAACTAATGGTTGACCGTGTCGAACGCCGCCGACAGGTCCAAATAATTGGGCTGGGCATGAGCTCGCAGATGTAATCGTGGCTGCATAATACTCTGACTGCCATCTCATAGGATCTCATAAATGTCCTATAAGATGTTCTTGTGACTTCATCGCAGGTGCACCGCTACTGTCTCTCTAGCCATCTTAGCCCTCGCTTCATCAGCCACAACTCCTGGGTAAACCAAGGAGCCAGCCTAGAGTGAGGGCGTCGGGGAGTGATCTCATGGATGGCTGCTAAAAGTCAGCTGTGCCAATCCTCCACAAGCTCATCTAACAAGCCACCAGGGGACATCAGATCCCTCAGGGCCATTTGAAGCCACATAGGGTCCATTTGGCTCCATGGGCAAGCTGAAATCTGCTCGCCGCCCGAACAGGGTTGGGGTGAAACATTCAGATGGGCCTTAAGGGCATGATGGTGTGACCATGGCACTGCTGAGGCGGTGACCCCGGTCTACCTTGACCTCTGACATGAAGATCAGATTGAGCATGTGTCAGGCCCGGTGAGTGGAAGTCGTTACATATTGGGAGAGTCCCAGCACCACCACGGATGACACTAGGTCCATCGCCTGAGTGGAGGCCACATTGTCCACATGGACATTGAAATCATGAAGTACAATCGGTCTAGGGTGTTCCAATGCTCAGCCCGGCATGGTCTCCACCAGGATGGCAGGCTGCTGGCTGGTTCTTTTTTCATTAAAAAACCAAAGATAAAGTACAAGCAAAGACAAGTCTTACCTTACAGTAATTATGTTTTGTTGTCACAATTATTATATAATGTTTGGGTTTTAATATGTTTTTGCTGTTTTATTATCTGCAATATGTGATTATTTTTATAAGGGAATCTTTTTTTGCCTTAAATTTTTGTACAATAATGAAAATATTGTCCTCTATTCTTAAAAAAAATCAATTAAAATGTGTGCAATCCTTTTATCTGGGTCACCTCTATGGTGGATGCCAGATAATTTTTTTTTACATTTAAAACGCTAGCTTATTAGTAGGCTGACATTAAATTGTTCAGTAATTTGTCAGTTTTTTGTCAGTATTTGGTCAGTTTTTTTGGAATTTTGGTATTTTTGACCCTCTGACTAGTTTCCACCCCTGTGCATGTTCCATAGCACAAACTAAGAGTGGTTTTTTTCCAAGACTTGTTCTTATGATAGCAACGTAATTCTTTTTGTCTGGTGTAACTGGCTGTTTTAACACACACTGGAAATGCACTTTCAGTGTACTTTAGCAATTGATTGCAACCGGATTTTCCTGTGTCAAACAGGGAAGTCCAGTTGCAAACAATTGTTCAAGTGTATTGAAAGGGAATTATCCAACAAATGTAAAAGCAGCCTGTGTTTCTAGAAAGTCCTAATAAAAGCCTCAAAATTTTCACAGCTTATAGTATGAGTGCTACATTTGGCTATTTGAAAATGGGCTGGGAGCCCCTGTTTCGAGTTAATGACAGTGGTCAGCTGTCAGTGGCTCGTCCACCAGTTTTAAGACCATAGTCAATCCATAGTGCGCGCATGGCCGTGATATTTCGCACCTGATGTAATGTGCGATATCGGCATTGTAATCATTACGAGATCCCACTGCTGGGCTTGTCCGCAACGACTTTAATAAATATATACAATAAGGCAGAAACAACGCCCACATACAAACATACATTTAAAAACCAGACTGCGCTGGGAAAAACTCTCTTAACATACACACGCACGCATTCTCCTTCTGCTGACGCCATAAATCAATCAGTCAGTAATTCCAATTCTAGGGGTACATACCCCATAACAGAATTTCCGACACCGTTCTTCCGCAGATGAGATCAGACACAGCCGTTATGGCCACTCCTTTCTCTTCAGGGCAAGTCTCCTCTCTCTCGCGTCCTCTCACTTCAACCAACTCCGATGGAGAATTTCGATCAAATGAGGGCAAGGTGCCAATCAGGCATGGAGCATATTCTCCTTCCGGTGAATAATTCTCATCCGTTACCCAACAGCATCCTCCTTGAGATCCCACTCTCCAGCGGGAAATATACAGTAAAGGCCGGCAGTCCCGCTTGCCACTCATAGTCCTACATTCACCATCAAACCGTTCAACCACCACTGAGAGCAGACACAGCCAACTGGCCACTCCCTCTCAATTGGGGCACACCGTCTTCATTTGCCTGCTTTCGTCCACCCAGGAGCGAACGCTCGACTGGGACTCTTCAGGAAGATCCGGTAAAACCAACTCTTTTTCGTCTCTCTGGCAGGTTGTGCTGGGGCATCCGGCATACGCCTCACCAGCTTTTGTCTTCTTGTAGTGCGTGTCATATCCGATAGGGCAGGAAGCCCATTTTTCCTACCCAGCGCATTTCTGTCGAGTTGACGACAGCACTGGTAGGGGGAGCAGCGAGTACACTATTAGCCAGCATTAGCTGTTGCCCGGCGGGGACCACGTGGAGGTTGCGTACTCAATTTACGTTTCATGCTGCCCCCTAACTATGACTCAGATGGAACCTACGAATGGAGAGTCATAGTTACTCCCTTTAGCTTGTGCATGTTTACTTGGAAGCAGGTCCTATAAAATACTATGAGGCTTCCTCACAAGTAAATGTTCAGAGGATCCGTAAAATGACTTGCCCGGTTTTCTGTACTTGTCTTCACAACAGTCTTGAGAAACACACTATCAAAGACTGTTTTAGACAGTGCTAGTGAAAGAAAAACTTACTTGTGTGCTTTATAGGTGCCCAATATCTTGTTTAAACTGCCATGTATGTGCAAAGTGATGATGTTAGTGAAATGTTCTCCTGGACTACCTGTCTCAGAACTGCTGACACTGCTCATGTAGAGGCTGAGGGCTAGGGTAAATGAGACATGGATAGACGCATAGCTGCACAGGTAAGTTCTTCTGTCCTGCCAGCATCCCTTTCAAATAAATATATCTAATTCTCAATGTGGCAGACAATACAAATCTTTCGTTGAGCCTCAGAAAAGCCCAAGGTTTGCAGAAAAATCTGAAATCTTTTTAAAAAACCCAAAATTCAGGGGTTTAAAACTCCTTCAAAATAATAATAGAAGTACTACCTGTATATTTAAGAAACAAACACCCTGTGTGGCTATTGCTAGGTAACTACAGCAGTATTGCCTGTTGAAGCCTTGGTTTCTGTCTGTAAAATGCAGCACCCTTTCTAGGGCTGCTTTGCCCTTTGAGGGAACGTCTCACTGAGGTCACTTGCTACCATCTGACTTGTGTGACTCGCCTAAGCCTGGCTGCTTGCTGCCCTTCAACAGCCACTCCACAAAGGTC